GCAGTTCTGCCTAAAATGACAGCTGACGGCAGCAGAAGAGAGCAGATTTAAAATTTTGCAGTAGCATCCTGATTGACTGATAGAGATTGTGGCAAAGTTTGATTGGATAACTAGAAGAGTGAACACCCATAGCCATGATTAGAAGAAGCAGTGGGAGTGGGAGGGAGAGAAGTGGGAATGGATGAGCACAAAGAAACAGAGCATCAAAACATGGACTCAGGGACACTTTGGAAAACTACTGACGTTTAACATAGTTCGTCATTGCATCAACAACATAAGTTAAGACTCTGTCATGCAAAGTGAGATCCATGTATCAACAACATCCAGAAATGCTGTTGACTTCTCTTGACCGGAGATCACCTGAGAGTCCACATTTCAGATTGTTTTTGGACATTGTGTCCTCCGGGCTAAAGAGGAAAAGGGCCATCTAGATTGGTACCAGCTCAAAGTTGAAAAGCCAGTATCTGTGATGGTATGAGGGAGTGTTAGTGCCCATGGCTCCATGGGTAACCTCACACTTGAGAAGGCGCCATGAATGTTGAAAGGTATTTACAGTTTTTGGAGCGGCACATGCTGCCATCCAGATGTCTTTTTCAGGGACGTCCCTGCTTATTCCAGCAAGACAATGCCAAGACACATTCTGCATGTGTTACAACAGTGTGGCTTTGTGATAAAAGAGTGCAGGTACTTGACTGGCCTGCCTGCAGTCCTGTCTCCCACTGAAAATGTGTGGCACATTATCCATCCATCCATTTTCAGCCGCTTAACCGAAGCTGGGTTGTGGGGGCAGCAGGCTGAGCAAAGCACCCAGACATCCATCTCCCCAGCAACAAGTTCCAGCTCCTCCTGGGGGACCCCAAGGTGTTTCCAGGCCAGACAAGATATGTAATCCCTATAGCGTGTTCTGGGTCTGCCCCGGGGCCTCCTACCAGTGGGACGTGCCTGGAACATCTCTATCTGGAGGCACTCAGGAGGCATCCTGATCAGAAGCCTGAAGCACCTCAACTGACCCCTTTCAGCACAAAGGAGCAGCACCTCCAGATGTCCGGGTTCCTTACCCTATCTCTAAGGCTGAGACAGGCGTTATGAAGCACAAAATAAAACAATGGAGACCCCAGACCGTTGAGCAACTGAAGTTGTGTATCAAGCATGAATGGGAAAGAATTAGTGTCCTTAGGTCCCAAACTCCTATTCAGTGTTGTTAAAAGAAAACGTGATGTAACTCAGTGGTAAACATGCTCCTGTCCCAACTTTTTTAAGTGCTGCAGGCATCAAAATTAGGATGTGTGTATATTTACAAAAAACAATAAAGTTTATCAGTTCGGACATTAAATATCTTGTCTTTGTACCGTATTCAATTGAATATGGGTCTAAAAGGATTTGCAAATCAGTGCAATCTGTTTTTATTTACATTTTGCACAGCGTCCTATAACTTTTATGTAATAAGGGATGTATTAGTATCTGATCCATAAAACAAAATTGCACTGTAAGCTGTTATATGTTTTATTGTCACTTTAAAATCATGGCTGCAGATTGGAAGAGTTGCTTGCTCGAAGCATTGCATGGATGATTTAGAGACTGCATTTCAACACAATATCATCTTATCTGTCTTCACAGACGTACAGGCCCTGCAGGAATGACGCTAAGCTGGATATCATTGCCATTCTTAACTTTCAAGATGACTTAACTACAAGTACTCAGTATGCGTCTTCACAGCCTTCCGTCACCGGTTTACAGATGGCTATTGCACATGTTTTTATCTGCTTATCAAACACTGCTAAGCAACAATCATGTGCATCTTCAGCAATTCTGTCTATTATGAGTAAGTGCTACTTATACAAATCACAATGCATTTTGATTCCAACCCCAAATAGTTCTCTATATTTATTTTTAAGTGTCCTCCTTTGAGCAGATAGCATCGATGGCACCCCGACACCCACCTCTCACCACTCCCTGTGACGGTTCATTGACACTTGGCCTAAATTTTTCAGGGTGTCCGACCCAACATCAATCTAACGCCCCCCAGCAGCTGGGAACTGCATTGACATCTCACCCACATGGATGGCACAGGCTTATTTGGGCATGTCTCTGGTGTCTTACTGTCCGACCTGAGCCCCTAAGCCACTGAACCCCCAAAGATTCTTAATTTATGTCACCTGGATAATCAACATGAGTGCCTGAACGCAGGAGGAAGCAGGGCTCCAAATGCTTCGTAGAAAGGGACAGCACTTTGTGAAATCGTGTTACCTGGGAGTCAAGTGATATATACTTAACATGTAGATGAACCAAATGTAGCCCAGTGTCTGAAGCTTATGTTTTAACATGAATAAATTCAGATTTTCAAATTAAATCTGGTGAAACAAGTAATCATGCTTTCATAGAACGAGTAACAAGCCAAATTTGTTCTTCTCTTTGAATGATTTTGGATTCAAACACATGAATAGTGCAGTGAAATATAAAGAAAGACACTATTTTAAAGTTATACATTGTGTGTATTAATTCCCTGAATTAATGTCTACTAGTATTGCAGACACAAAAGGATCTAAAGTCCTTTAAAGAGCCTTTAATTTCACTGAGTCCTTGCAGATGTTCTGCATAACAATCCCTAAAGGTGGATATTAAGACTTTGGGCCCATTCATTGGTCTGACTCTAAGCAGATCTTTCAGATATAGTAACCGCAATATATCAATTTCTGTTTTTCTTTGTATACTAACAGCTCTGGCCGCACAGACATGTTAGTAGCATGTTATTGTTAGCAGCATGTTATTGTTAGCAAAGGGGTAAGATGGGTAAGATGCCCCTCTTACAAACAAAGTCAATTTACTGTATAATTTAAAAAAAAACAAAACAACAACAACATTTAGATATGATTTTACGATATGCAGGATAATGATGCACAAACCTAAACACAGTTGGGAGAAATGAACTGGTAGAGTAGCCAATTTTGTTGTTACAGCACAAAAATGAAAACGTGTAAAGGAGCATGCCCCACTACTGCCTAGGGAAAAATGCCCCCAAGCTACAAAATGAGCTATCTAACTAAATTAAACAAACTAAAATTCCAACCTTGACTCATTAATGGTTTATTAGAAGTCTTGTAGCCTTTCCATCAGGCTAACTGATTAAATATTTCAGGATGTCCTCCTCCTGCAAGCTAACTAAAAATGTTGGCTAATTCTAGATAGCTAGCAATGCTAATGGTTGCTTGCTCACTAGCTAGCTAATAATACCAGCAAGCTATTAAAACTACAATACTACTGGTACTATATGTAGATATGAACTACATAAAGTCATAGGACTATATACTAGATAATCTAAATTAATTATATTTTCAGGGCAGCACAAATAGGCAAATGCTAATGGTAGCATGCTAGCCTTATTACAATAAGCCTTCAACACCATCTGTCACACCACCCTCCTCAATAGACCATATCGGCCATCGGCATCACTCATACTCCTCTAGACTGGTTTAAATCTTATCTCTCTCACCGCACTCAGTTCATCCAGCTCAAACACTTCACATCCCAACCTTCCCCTGTTACTTCAGGTGTGCCCCAGGGCTCTGTCCTGGGGCCCCTCCTCTTCATCATTTATCTTCTTCCCCTTGGCAGCATCTTCCGCAAACATAACATCACTTTTCACTGTTACGCGGATGACACCCAGCTCTACCTCGCTAGCCTCACTGCCAACCTCCCACCCTCCTTCCTTACTGACTGCTTAACTGAAATAAAATCCTGGTTCACCTCAAATCTTCTGAAACTCAACTCTGATAAAACTGAGACTCTTCTCATTGGCACACAGTCAACACTTTCCAAAACTGACAGTTTCCCCCTCACCATTGACAACTGCTCCATCTCCCCCTCCCCACAGGTTAAGAGTCTGGGTGTCATCCTCGACAGCACTCTTTCCTTCCGATCTCACATCAACAACATCACCCGGTCTGCTTACTTCCACCTACGCAACATCAACCGCCTCCGCCCCTCCCTTACTCCCCATGCCACTGCTATCCTTGTCCATAGTCTCATCACTTCCCGCCTGGATTACTGCAACTCCCTCCTCTCTGGTCTCACCCACAAATCCCTGCACAAACTTCAACTGGCCCAGAATTCAGCTGCCCATGTCATCACCAGAATCCCCGCCATCCACCACATCACTCCCGTCCTACAGCAGCTCCACTGGCTCCCGGTCAAGTCCCGCATTGACGTCAAAATCCTTCTGCTTGCATTCAAGGCCATCCATAATCTTGCCCCCCCATATCTTTCCAGTCTTCTCCACGTTGCCACTCCCTCTCGCACCCTCCGATCATCCTCCTCCATTCTGTTGACTGTCCCCTCCGCCCGTCTCACCACCATGGGGAGCAGAGCTTTCACCCGCTCTGCTCCCCGGCTCTGGAACTCTCTTCCACTCGAAATAAGGAACATCAGTACACTATCACAATTCAAGTCCCGACTCAAAACACACCTGTTTAAGATCGCCTTTTCCCTTCACTAACCCCATTTCCTGTCCACATCTAACTGTTTTTACTCGTGTGTACTTTGTGATTTTCTTTTGTAATTTTATTTTAAATTATTTTAATTGATTTTATTGTGTACTGTGCATTGTCTTTTATCCATTGTAAGGTGTCCTTGAGTGACAGAAAGGCACCTAAGAAATAAAATGTATTATTATTATTATTATAACAAGCAGGTATAATGATGACCATGTTCACCAATGTAGTTTAGCCTGTTAGCATGCTAACACTGGCTAATTATCACTGAACAGAAAGAGCTGAGGCCGATGGTATGTCGTTATTTTTGCAGGTTATGTGGTCATAAACCAAAATGTTGTTCACAGCAATCCATCCAGTAGGCTGGTTGAGACATCGGGATCAAAGTGGTGGACCGACACACTACTTACACACTGCATTACACCTAAGTGTTGACACACATTGGGTCAGTGTGTGTAATCTAGTTGGGGAGAGCCAAATTAAACAACACACTGTTGAGAAACCCGAGCCATGTCAACTATGGATTCATGAACTTTATTCTCATAAAAAGAAATACATTTCTTAGTTTATAATAAATTAAATAACAAAAATAAAATCATATCCAATAAATCTTTCAAGTTCCTTTGAGACGATTCCCGACGTACTCAGGGAGGAGAAATAAACCAAACAATGTGCAGCCACATTCAGTATCACAGCTCATATGAAGACACTATACTGTATGTGCATGTACTGTAAATAAAAATAAAGCACTGCATACCATGATACATTATACAGCAAAATAAAGATACAATAAATTAATATAAAACCTTAAAAATAGGCCTCTGTATATAACATGACATTTAATATAAGACGTGTGTCTGAAATCAGATTGAAAAAGTTACCGCCCCAAGGATCAATCAGTCTGCTCTAAACGGGACAGCGTAACTATCTCACAACATCTTCACATCAGCCGACACATGAAACAAAACATGTTTCTTATTTTCAGAGAGGCAGCTGGATCAGCAGGTCTGATCTGTCACATAAAAGCTTTATAAAAACAAGTCATGATAAAAAAAGGGGGCACTCACAAAGATCCTGTCGGAGCGAACAGACGTCACTCCAGTTCTGTTTTATTATAAGGAAGAGCTACTTTCTGAGGACAAACCCTATGCATGCTTAACATGCTTATTAGATATCGGCAGGATAAACAGCTACTGCAGAGAGGAACATCAGTCCAGTCAGATGTGGAGTAAAGACAAAAAAATCATTCATCACTGAAAATTGAAAGGCATTTCATCCTCCTGTTTGGGGAAAGGATGTAATTCACTTGAGGAAGCATCAGTGACGGACCACAAACCAACCCATAAGTCATTCTGGTGCAATGCCACAGAGAGACACGCCGATTTACATAGTGAAACAAGTGACGGGGGAAATCTGAACTGATAACTCATAAAACGTGCATTACGTGCAAATGCAGTGTTAGAAAGAAAGGTGTGCAGAATGTGGAACAGAAAATATCTTTGTACACATGTGGCTGACTCATCAAGTTGGGAACAAAAAAAAAAAAAAACAAAACGTTATATCTCTGAACACTCTCTGGCACTATTCAGAAACTATTTTATCCATTACAGGACACCCACTTTAAAACAGAAAGGGTAGAGTGTCTTCACAAGCATTCCTGGTATTTAGATGTAAGGGGCTTTAAAATGCAGCTAATGATACTTGGAAAGAGCATTCGGTCTATTTGGAGGCACTGTCCCTTCTCTAGGGCGGGCAGTGTGGAGGAGAGACTGGAAACGAGGGCAGTGAGCCAAGTCGTGGCTAAAATAACTCAATAAGCACAATGTGCCTTGGACCTTGAGTCCACTAACATCCCGCATGTCAATGTGTTTTATGTAAAAGAATTGTGTGTCTTTTGTGTGCATCAAAAAGAAAGATTGTGTAAAATGTTCTTTGAATGGAAACGTGAAGCTCATTAAAGCAAAGATAGTGGATTTATGCAGTGCATGTGTGCGTGTGTTTGCAGCATTTGACCCTGTCCAGAGCTGAGGCGTGTGTGTTGACATCCTGGCTCCGTCAGAAGCTATGACTCCCCCTGTTATATAACCCTGCATGTGGCTTTGCCTCTGGAGAGGGAAGGGGGGGGGGGGGGGGGGGGGGGGGGGGGGGGGGGGGGGCGCTGCTGCCCTGAAGCCAGAGCCTCCTCTGAAAACTGCATCATGTGAATGCTGTGACTAAAACCGTCAGCAATGAACACATGCGTTTCTAACTTTGTGAGTGAGTGATGCTTTCAGGCGGTGAGAGAGAGATTTGAGTGTGAAGGTCTGTCTGAGTAGTACCACGTGAAAAAACGTGTGCGACATTGTGTGTGTGTGTGTGTGTCTGTGTGTGTGTGTTTGTGTGGTCCCACTGTTTTAAAAAGCCAGCGTCTGTCTTTGTGGTCACAGGGCGATGCTGTTGGTCCTGTGCTCGGGAAAGCAGAACAGTGAGTTTGAGGGGTCGTCACAGTCGTCGGGCAGCCCGGTGTCTGCGGCTGCCAGTGGATTCCTGCTAATGACCAAGTCCAGGCTGTCTCCTGCCTCTATAATTAGGGGCACAGTTAGACAACAGTCCAAATCCCTGGTCCTGACACGGTTCACCTGGAAGTTTAGAATCAAAGAAACCATTCATTCATTCATTCGTGCTGTTACATTCACATTTCTTTGACAAGGCATAGTTTGTCAATTTGGGATTTTTGCCTATTATTTTATTTATTTAGTCTTTTAATTTTAGTTTTTAGCAGGAAACACAGAGTAATGATCACCAGCCCTTAGCCTGATTTAGTTTAGAAACAGTTTTACAGCTGTCCCACACAGTGAGGACAACAGCCAAACAAGTGCATTAAGATGAGACAACCAGGGAAACAATAAAATAACAACAAAACCCCTCTGACATATAAAAATGGCTGAGAGAAAAACCTATTTTTGAGTGAATATTTCATAAAAAAGAACTAAAACAGCAACAAAACAAACCCACATTTTAAATGTGTACACAGACACTGAATTTGAAAGTCTGAGATAAGGGACGGGCTTCTGAAATGTTAGTGATGACAGTTCTAATTCAGAAGAAGGAAATATTTGTATGATGCTTTAATTGTTAAAACAGAGGAAGTTCTTCTAATGAGATATACGATTTAATTCCAAATGTCGGCATATGTGCAGATAAAAGATCTTAAATCATGACTATTATTAAAAGCAGGGTATGAGACTCATTTAATTTGCCTTGGCAGAATAATACAAAGTGAAGTGTTAAGGAATTATGAAACTGATGGCACAGAATAATACTTAGAGTGCTGTATAGTTATGGAAAGATTGATACCACTCTCATGTCTCTATTGAATATGAAGCTACTGCCAGCAAAAGCTTAGCATAGTATGAAGACAGTGAAAACAGTGGAAATGGCCAACTTTGCTTTGTGCTACATTAAAAAAAAACATTTAAAAGAAAAAATAAACAAAACCTCTTAAAGTAGCTGTTAACATCATTCAGAGCATATCTATGATTTAGAGTCTGAGCTGGGATTGCCTACACACGGCTCTCAACATGGAGGTGGCTGAGCAGGCAGCTAGCAGCTAACAGTGCTAACTCCATAAACAGCACTGACAATGGCAACACTGCTGACAGAGCTAATGGTTTACATGTGGGCAAGAGATGGAGGGTGAGCGGTAACCGTCGTATGAGCGCAGTGCAGAGTGACAGTGATTAACCAGCCCGTGGGATACACATAAATACTCACATGCACTACATCAACCATGGATATATTAAAAGACCTGGATATAGCAGTGGAAGCAAGAATCCTGATAGTAAAATGAGTCATTTCATGGGGATTGAGACATTAAATAAATGTATCCACTGATTTACAGACATCTTTTCCCTATTTAAGTCTAATGGGAGAAAGTCTTTTTGGGCCTAATGTCATCACATGATGTACTCAGGAGTTTGGCCACTGTGGAAATGTGGCCTGATATGAACGTGCAGCCAAACCGTCTACAACAACAAACACAATCAGATTACAACACACACAGACGGAGTGTGACCTCATTCTCTGCTCAGGGCTCCATTACTCAGCCGTATCTTTACATACCAAATCGTTTGCTGCTACATTAATGCTCTGAATGTCGTATACAAAACCTTTCCGGTTAAGTTGTGGTTTACAGGATGTTTATGTGCAGGGCATCTTGACTTTCTGGAGTCATTGGTGGTTGCCTGGCAATCTCACATAACCACATTGGTTTCCCCTTGTGTTAGCTGTTGCCAGTTGTTATGCTAAGATAAGCTGACCTTCTCCTGGATATAGCTTCATATTTAATAGACAGTGGTATCAATATTCTCATCTAACTCTCTACAAGAAAGTGAATACAGGTACAGTACAGGCCAAAAGTTTGGACACAACTTCTCATTCAATGCGTTTTCTTTATTTTCATGACTGTTGGAAAACCATTTCAGGTGACTACCTCTTGAAGCTCATGGAGAGAATGCCAAGAGTGTGCAAAGCAGTAATCAGAGCAAAGGGTGGCTATTTTGAAGAAACTAGAATATCAAGCATGTTTTCAGTTATTTCACCTTTTTTTGTTAAGTACATAACTCCACATGTGTTCATTCATAGTTTTGATGCCTTCAGTGAGAATCTACAATGTAAATAGTCATGAAAATAAAGAAAATGCATTGAATGAGAAGGTGTGTCCAAACTTTTGGCCTGTACTGTATGTTCCAGTAAAGTTAAACGATAGTTAGCTTAGCCCAGCATAAAGACCGTTTCCCCTTGTTGCTAGTCTTAATGCTAAGCTAAACAGCTGCAGGTTGTAGCGTCATACTTGGCGTAAAGACATGAGAGTGGTATTAATCTACTCATTTTACTTTGGCAGGAAGCAAACAATTTTCCCAAAATGTCTTATTTCTTTAAAGCAGTACCTGAAGAATGCGGTCGAAAGGTTTTAACCCTGCCCGGTCAGCGGGGCCATCGGGGCGGATCATGTTGACATACACCCCTTTCTCCAGGAGCCCGTCGGATACACTGAAACCAAAGTCACGGCTCTCGAGGTCTTTCCTCATAGACACCTGCAAACACAGTGGAGTTTAAAGTCACACACAGCACACGATCATAAACATGCACAAGCTTTTACACTACGTAAAAATACACTCCAGCAATTTAGTATTACACTTCCATAAAGTGCTCACAGTATAGCCGAGGGCGAGATATCCTGCTGGATGCTGCCTCCTCAATGCCTGCAGCTTTTAAACTGCACATTACCAATTCCTAAACAAGCTTTATGTTAAAAATTTTAAGTCTCCAGGACCAAACGAAGATAACTTGTTATTTAGTCAGACTGAAAAAAGCTCCCTCGACAGCCTCAGAAGACATTTTTAAACTACTTTCACAGGATGAGTACATTGCGAATTCAGGCATTTAAAATGAAATTTAATGAGAAGATGGACACCATTCTCATATCTGTCTACTCATTACGAAGTTGGAGCCAGGAGAGGGAACTGTCCATTGGTCCGACAGCCCATTGGTTCGACATCCCATTGTTCCGACCATATTAAACCCATTGTTCCGAAGGCCGTTCCGAAATCATCATGATGCCCTGTGGTTAAGCTCTGGTTAGGTTTAGGCACAAAAACCACTTGGTTAGGGTCAGGAAAAGCTCATGGTGTGAGTTAAAATAAAAAAAGAAAGTGGCAAACACATAAGCTGTGAGCCTGCTTCGCCTCAAGCCTTTCCCAGCTGACCCAGAGCTGGTTGCAGCGCACCATACGCCCGCTGCGAGCCGTTCAGCACTGCGGACAGTCAGACTAATGGGATGTCGAACCAATGGGCTGTCGGACCAATGACATGGACCCCCAGGAGACAGTTAGCTTAGCTTAGCATTAACACTGGAAATAGGGAGAAACAGCTAGCCAGGCTTTCTGGAGTGGATGCTAAGCTAAGCTAACCAGTTGCTTGTCGCAGTTTCATATTGAACACACTGATATTAGAGCAGTATTAATCTACACATCCAAGAAAGTGAATAAACATTCCCCAAAATGTCAAACGATTTCTTTAATCCAGTGGCCAGATGAAAAAACAGGATGGACATATCAAAACTTTGAGAATGTATAAAATATCAGACACCAGGTATTTCATACCATCTTGTAAAATACAAATTGTTGCACAGTTATAGTCACAGCTCTGTACACGTCCACTGTCCCCGCTCTGTATACACTAAACAGTTAACATTTCCACAGACACATGTCGTTTGTTTCTCTTTGGATTTAGAGCCAAATTACAACAAGGTCAACGGGTTTAATGAGAAACGGCTTTAAAGGCGGGACTTCGGATGTCTTTCCATGATATCACGCAAGATGTGTCAACCCAAAACACTTTAAATTTCCACACTGCAGGACTGTGATGCACTCTGTTGTTACTGCCCCAGTTTCAGCCCTGTCAGTCCAACGACGCACAGCGAGATGCGCGGCTGACACCAAACACAGCGTCTCAAGGAGCACATGGGCACAGACTGGGTCACAGCGTGTGCAGCTGCTGAGGTAATGCTGTATAATGAGTGTTGTGTGTTTTTGTCATACACACTGCATGTCCTGACTGGCCAGGTATCCACTGGGTCCAGTTACACTGTACCAACAGGCACAGCGAGTCAAGTGACAGAGGCACGCAGGTATAAACTTCTTAATGGGCAGATTCCCTCAGGACACTGTTGTTTATACCGTGATCATCAAGCTGTGAGTGCTGCTGACTGATCACTCAGTTATCACATTTTCACCTCTATGTTTCAGTAAAGCTTCACAGTAGAATTAAACAGTACATAATGAGGTACTTGTGCAAGGGATGAAGTAAATAATAAGGGATTAACTTTGCATTTAATGGTCAGTATCTTTTTATTTACTGAGCATCTTTCTTTACATTACACCATGAAGTCATATTGTTATCAGGTAAAAGGGAGGGAAAATGGGCTAAATTGTATACATGTGTTTCTGTTACGCTCTAGATAGGTCCATTTGTGTTTCCGCATCATAATTAGCAGCCCCACCACGACGAGCAGCCTTGGAAAAACACTGACTTTTTTTTTTTTTTTTTTACGTGAAGCTGCTTTATTCAGTGTTTTATTGTTTAAAGGAGCTATACAGTACAGGCCAAAAGTTTGGACACACCTTCTCATTCAATGCGTTTTCTTTATTTTCATGACTATTTACATTGTAGATTCTCACTGAAGGCATCAAAACTATGAATGAACACATGTGGAGTTATGTACTTAACAAAAAAAGGTGAAATAACTGAAAACATGTTTGATATTCTAGTTTCTTCAAAATAGCCACCCTTTGCTCTGATTACTGCTTTGCACACTCTTGGCATTCTCTCCATGAGCTTCAAGAGGTAGTCACCTGAAATGGTTTCCACTTCACAGGTGTGCCTTATCAGGGTTAATTAGTGGAATTTCTTGCTTTATCAATGGGGTTGGGACCATCAGTTGTGTTGTGCAGAAGTCAGGTTAATACACAGCTGACAGCCCTATTGGACAACTGTTAAAATTCATATTATGGCAAGAACCAATCAGCTAACTAAAGAAAAACGAGTGGCCATCATTACTTTAAGAAATGAAGGTCAGTCAGTCCGGAAAATTGCAAAAACTTTAAATGTGTCCCCAAGTGGAGTCGCAAAAACCATCAAGCGCTACAACGAAACTGGCACACATGAGGACCGACCCAGGAAAGGAAGACCAAGAGTCACCTCTGCTTCTGAGGATAAGTTCATCCGAGTCACCAGCCTCAGAAATCGCAAGTTAACAGCAGCTCAGATCAGAGACCAGATGAATGCCACACAGAGTTCTAGCAGCAGACCCATCTCTAGAACAACTGTTAAGAGGAGACTGCGCCAATCAGGCCTTCATGGTCAAATAGCTGCTAGGAAACCACTGCTAAGGAGAGGCAACAAGCAGAAGAGATTTGTTTGGGCCAAGAACCACAAGGAATGGACATTAGACCAGTGGAAATCTGTGCTTTGGTCTGATGAGTCCAAATTTGAGATCTTTGGTTCCAACCGCCGTGTCTTTGTGAGACGCAGAAAAGGTGAACGGATGGATTCCACATGCCTGGTTCCCACTGTGAAGCATGGAGGAGGAGGTGTGATGGTGTGGGGGTGTTTTGCTGGTGACACTGTTGGGGATTTATTCAAAATTGAAGGCACACTGAACCAGCATGGCTACCACAGCATCCTGCAGCGACATGCCATCCCATCCGGTTTGCGTTTAGTTGGACGATCATTTATTTTTCAACAGGACAATGACCCCAAACACACCTCCAGGCTGTGTAAGGGCTATTTGACCAAGAAGGAGAGTGATGGAGTGCTGCGGCAGATGACCTGGCCTCCACAGTCACCGGACCTGAACCCAATCCAGATGGTTTGGGGTGAGCTGGACCGCAGAGTGAAGGCAAAGGGGCCAACAAGTGCTAAACACCTCTGGGAACTCCTTCAAGACTGTTGGAAAACCATTTCAGGTGACTACCTCTTGAAGCTCATGGAGAGAATGCCAAGAGTGTGCAAAGCAGTAATCAGAGCAAAGGGTGGCTATTTTGAAGAAACTAGAATATCAAACATGTTTTCAGTTATTTCACCTTTTTTTGTTAAGTACATAACTCCACATGTGTTCATTCATAGTTTTGATGCCTTCAGTGAGAATCTACAATGTAAATAGTCATGAAAATAAAGAAAACGCATTGAATGAGAAGGTGTGTCCAAACTTTTGGCCTGTACTGTATGTAAGAAATCTAAAGCAAATAGTCATAAAATCCTCCTAATATGTCACAGAGACTAAGGAATAATGTTCATATAACATACTGATCTCACCAACAACAACAGTACAGCCAGTATATTTGCATTTAAAAAAATTTTTACGGTCCGCAAATCATGTTTATGTTTTGAATTTGTGTTTTGGCCTGTTGCGCCACCCACCGCCGTCTACCAGTCACGCAGTCAGTAGAGCCTCAGCATCAGTTAAACTTATGACTGAGCTACAGCAGCACGGCAAGCAGCATTAGTAGTGTCCCAGTACATAGCATTAGCAGCTGGCTCCTCCTCAGCTGTATCCCGGCAGCAGCGTTAGCAGCAGAGAAGCCGGACTTGCTCTAGCGGTCTGCTGGAAAACCGAAGATCAAGGACGCGGCGACACGGCCCTGCCACGGCAGCTGCCCGTGGGCAAACAAATCAGTCTCCAGCGTGCTGCTGTCCAGCAACCTCGAATCTGTAGGGGAGGGGGGGGCGGACACGACTCGCTGCAGTAATTTGAATTTGAGTGCAGTAACCATTTTGGCCACATTCTTACATACAGCGCCTTTAAATCAATAGGTTCTTTTGTTTTGGAGAGGAAGCGACCTCTGTGGATAAACTGGCTCCCCGTAAAAACCTGAACACTGATGGAATTCTAACACTGAGAAGTTTCAGCTGGTTGCAATGTGAAATCCTCACTGCTAGATTGTAAATCAACTTGTACAGCACCTTTCTAAGCACCTTTCTCAAGTGGACGACCTGCTCTACCTCCTTGAGCCACATCCACACCTACTAGATGGATCCTAGGTAGGATCAATCTGATGATCAATACTGATGTTAGAGAAGAAGCTTTTTTGGTCCCATCATGTCATCAGATATGACAGAACAAATGTATATAGTTTTTGCCACATGTTGTTCAGCTGCTTTCATGACACCCCACCTGTGTGTACCAAGTACGTACCGTAGCACTTCAGTTAGACACCCAGTCCCTTTTACTAGCCTGGTGTGGCTTCGCATTTTGACAAATAAATGCCTGTCTCAATTGGACGCCTGATCTGGTTGCCAAGCATTTCATTTTATGTAACAGAAGTTCTTTGGATGTATAAAACCAGGTTGTTGGCTAAATCAAATTATGTGTCCATTCCTAGATTACCCTGTAAATTATTCATATTCCTTTAGTCTGTCCCAAATATAGGCCTGTTTATTTCAGTGATTTAAGCAAATAATAGCCCGGGCTATTACATGAAGTTTTACGGTATGTCAATGGTACATGGTGCCCACCTCACCACTAAGTGATCAAGGCAGCAGTAGACCAGCAACTTTCTTGTTCTGCTAGGTGAAATAACTGTTCTTGTCAATGGAGTCTGGTGGGATTGAGAGAACGGCTTCAGGTAGAGGACGGCAAGGTAAAACAGTGAAAGTATTTTAAATATAGTGCAAACTTTAACTGATGTAGATTTATTTAAGTGGGCCTTTTTTAGGTGGCTGAAGACTGACCAATTAGGCGGCATTATCGGGGCACAGTTTTATTTTGTGTTCATGATGTGGGGGTTTTTGTACCTGGAAGTTACTGTAAACATACACTGTGATTCGGTGTATTTAGAATGAATATGAGTTGATAACATTCAGTGGCTGATTGATCAGAGCACCCTTCAATTTTTGTTGTTTGCTTTGAAACAATTTATGCTAACGTGAACTACCTTGTGCAGTGCCAGAGGGGTAGGGGACAAAATATCAGAGGGGTCCCCTCTGCCCCGTGATGGTACGTCTCTGGCTCCAGTCGACATGTTCAAGTTGCTCTTGTTGTTAGAGTCGCTGTGCAGTCCCTCCCTCTTAATGGGACTAATTTCAGACTGGAACATTGAGTCGTCGTTGGTCTTGGTCTCCTCTAGGTACAGACTGAGAGCGCTACCTGTCATGGATGCCTGAAAGAGCACAAAATCAGGGATTATTAAAGCATCACGTGTTAAAGAGAAAAAAAGACTTCCATTTGGACAAGTGAAAACATCCAAATACATAATCTCTCATGAGGTGTTCACAGAGACAGATTAGAGGCCAGGGCGTTGCAGAAAAGCCTTTCTGGGTCAGTATGGCAGCAGGTGCCCGACGCTGCTTGTCAGATTTAATAACAGATTACGCACTCTGGCGATTATCATAATGCTTCATCTGGTATTGTCATCTAGGCCGACACCGGTCTATGAATACGTGAGTAGGACAAAGCAGATGGAGGAGAGGAAACAGGAGCAGGAGGGCGGGGTGGAGATGACAGGCCAGCTTACCTCCAGCTCCCTGAGAATCTCTGACTGGCCGCAGGTCTCGAGGTCCTGCAAAGCCTGGGACCAGAAGCTGTCCTCCTGGTTCAGGGTGCCATGGCAACGAGGGGGGCTGACGAATCTATGACAACGCAGGAACCAGAACATGAGAGCAGCCCTGCAGGTCCTGAGGTTGGTGCCGCTTACAAAAGGCAGCATGGGAAATGCAGTTTTTGTGCTGCGTGCTGGAGGAATCCCTTTGAAAACCTCTCAGGACCACATTGAGGGTTTTACTGTAAATTCTCTCACTTGTGGCGAACGCTGAGGAGTCCGCTACATTAGATAAAGCCTTTAAAAGAGTTCACTTTTACAAAAGTAACGTCGCCCCCTCCGCCCCCCCCAAAAAAGCAGAAAATTGAAAGCATGTGACACAAAAGTTCAGAGAAAAAAAAAGAAGTGTGAAGAGACAGATAAGGCTGATGTATCCTTGGGCGCTTTAGGTGCTTTCTGTGGAAACGTTTTTGTTGTGGACAAGGGGTGACAGAAAAAGATGCATCTATGTGAAACACCAAAGAGCTCGTGGTCAGTTAGTAAAGCAGATGAGAGAGAGAATACCTGAGAAGAAGAAGAGAAAAGGACAGTTTTGGAGAAGCACAAAACACGAAAGCATACAACACAAAATGAAGAGAAAATAATTCAGACAGTGCAGTTTGACTTTGTCAACGAACCCAAAGAAGGGAAAAGAAAAATCACAGAAGCTTTAATATATTCACAGTGGTGGAATGAACTCAGATCCTTTACTTCAATAAAGTACCAATACAACGGTTTTTAAATTTCGTCTGATCTCTGTTGTTTTGTGGAATATTGAATCATTGGATAATACCTCTTTAAGCCTCAGACTTATTTATATGACGCAACATCAGAAGTTTAGAGGTGAAAAGTCTCTTTATGAACAACTTAAAGACATCTGTAACATGACAAGAGGATGACTGTTTTTTTTGTCAGAGGTCGCAAGCCCAAAAAGGTTGGAAATCCCTGGTTTAATCTTTAAAAGAATACTTCATCCCCCAAAATGATCATTTGAATATTAATTACTCACCATATGTTGAATTTAAGTCATTGAATTTGTAAAGAAAACTGTTTTTCTTGGATGCCTCCACAGGGAATGAAGAATCCAATAACGGGGAAAATTCTTGATGAATTGAATGAACAGGGGGCTGCGTTTAACAATAGCAAAACTATATGGAAACATCATGCAGGTGATCGCACAACTGCAGTATAATCCAAGTCTCATTTATGCAGTGGTATGCTCAGTACTTCCTAAACAGTTCATGCTTGCCCACGTGCACAGTAGGGGTTAGCCATATCATCTCATTCACGATAATGCTGGTATAATTTTTTATAGGATATAAAAAAAAAACTTATTTTGTTGCAGTTCTGTTACATTCTTAAATTAATAAAAAAATATCAATGTCAATATCATCAACAATGTTACTCAGGCTGCTACAAAATATTAATTGTCTTCGCCCATCACTTACACCTCTGCTATCTTTGGCCTCCCTCTCAAGTGTCTTCATAAACTCCAGTTGGTCCAGAATTCAGCCAGCTGTATCATTACCAGAACCCCCTCCACAGATCACATCACTCCAACTTCACTGGCTTCCTGTTGAATGTCACATCAATTTCAAGATTCTGCTTATCACCTTTAAGACCCCTCATAATCAAGCCCCTTCTTACCTGTCTGAACTCCTTCATATCTACAAACCCTCCCGTACTCTTAGACCATCTTCTGCACTCCAACACACATCACCATCTGCCGCTTGACTACCGTGGCTTCTAGAGCCTTCAGCCGTTCTGCCCTCCGCCTCTGGAACTCTCTCCTCCACGATTTTCACAATATTGACTCCCTCTCCACTTTCAAATCCCACCTGAAAACACATCTTTATAGGATTGCATATTCGGTCTGTGAAATGTTTATTTCTGCTGTTCTGCTGGACATTTTAACATGAGGGGTCTATGGGGACTGATGTGCTCTTGGAGCCAGCCTCAAGTGGCCATTAGAGAAACTGCAGCTTTTTGCTTTGACTTTATTTGCTGCTCTGTTTAAACTCTGCTTGTGCATTCAATGGGAATACCTTCCAGCCTTCAAGCTTGTTCATTGACCAGGAGTTCTTCTGTCATCCACCCACCCATGTTCCTCAGCGGTGAAAAAGCTCAAGGTTAGATTTCAATGGAATGTCAATTCAAATGCACCTGCTACCCATCCATGTGTGAGACTGTTCACGTTTTAGCGGAAATGAATGTGTTTGGGAAGTACCTAGCACACGACTGGATGAATGAGGCTCGGATTTTGCTGCATGAGTCGTACCAGAGTTTATAAATGGAAATTTTGATAGAGTTTTGCCAATAAATGCGGCACCATTCATCAAAATTTTTCTCATGGCATGTGAGAAAAAGTTTTCTCCAAGAACTCAATGTAACACAGGGTAAGTAATTGACATACAAATGAATCTGTGTCTGAATGTGTGTTATATTACCTATAGGATTATCGTGTGTTTTATCTGTAGCGAGACTAGTATCTATATCTGTCAAAAACATGTGATGCAAAATTACAATGTGTCCCTCAGAAATCTAGCACAGAAGACTACAGCATGAAATTTCCCAAAACAACACAAGTCCAGTTCTTGAATAAATACACTCAGTTACTTCCCACCACTGTTAGGACACAGAACATGATTTAAATTAAATATGCTGTTTACTGAGAAATCACAAACACTTAAAGCTACACTGAAACAAGATGTAAGATGTAAACAGGAAGGGAAGTGCAGGCCTGTGCACTCACCCTGGTATCTTGTCCCACTCATCCTCAGTGAATCTCCCATCGTACAACGTTGCGTGGTGGATCAGGCCTGCAGAGCTGGAGCTGGTTTGGCTCCTGTGTTTTGTGCGTCTCCACTCATTTGGATTGAGCAGTATATCGGATGCTTTGTGAAGATATGTTGCTGAAAAAAAAAAAAAAAAAAAAAAAACAAGAAAATTAACTGAACTTATCAGATAAGACTGGAAATTGGTAATTAATAGACAACAAGCATCCAGTGGACCTCACCTTGGCTACTGTAGCCCGCGTCAAACCCTGAGCTATCCCAGGAGCTCATAGCAGAGTCTATACTGGGCAGAGTGGCAGAGTAGACCTCTGAGTGTTTACTGGTCTTCTGGGAGTCTGTCAGGTCATCCTCTGTGTCACTTAAAAACCCAGCTACTCTGTCAGGAGGCCGCCGGCCATCAGACTCTGGGAACGAACAGTGAGTCAAATCATTGTTAAACTAACATTGTTAGTTGTTGAACTAACTTATTTTCGTCATTTTACAATTTTATTATTTCTGGTTTGTACACTATGTCTCCCTGTTTTTAATATGTCTATGTTCTCTGTCTCTTTTTCCCCTTTTCTCTTTTCCTTCTCTTATAAAGCGCCGTCCATATAAAGCATAACCTGTATTTAACCAGGATGTCACATTGAGATTAAAACCTGTTTTACAAGCGAGATTGAGCCAAAACAGGGTCAAATTGCAGCATCCAACGCATAACAGGACAACAACATCAAATCAGGCACAATAGGTACGACTAAAAATACATTACGTAACACAGTGCAGTAACAAAGCAGCAATATTCACAAGCTGCAGCAGTGGGGTATTGTTTGTGACCTTGTGAGTTTCTGTGTGTGTTTGTGTGTGTCATCATAGAAAAATGTGCTCCTCGAGACACCTATTGTAGTGTGAACTACCACTGTAGACGTTCCGAGTATTTTGCCAGGTGTTTCTCTGCCTGTCTGTCTGTGGGCTGATGTTGACACTACAATAGTGTACCACCCGTGCGTGACACAGTAATGAAACTTTAAGGCTGTGTACTTGAGATTACAATGAAGTCTGAGTTTGAGTGTGGGTGTGGTCTGAGCAGGGGGGGGTCGAGAAGTAGGGGGATAGGAAGTAGGGAAGGCGCCATTGTCCCCCGCTCCCTACATATTCCACATTCGTTTTACGTGCAGATTCCTGTATTGTGGCTGGAGTGATGCCAAGATGGCCTCTAGTTACTCATGTGTTTGTTAGTTAATAGAGGCAACTGCAGCCAGCAGTGACCATGTCCATTATTCTAAGTTTAAAATCATTAAAGAGATAAGGATCTCTCTAACTTTTTGAAAAGTGTTATGTAAATAAAGTTCGCTGTCTTGCAGTAGGATCAAGAGAATGATGAACAATTGCTGAACGACAAAGGGAAAATATATATCTGACTGTTAGCTTAAAGGTCCAGTTTGTAAAATTTAGGGGGATTTAGTGGCTTCTAGCAGTGAAGTTTGTGGACTGCAACCAACTGAATTCCTTCATCATTTAATAGACCTACAGTACAGGCCAAAAGTTTGGACACACCTTCTCATTCAATGCGTTTTCTTTATTTTCATGACTATTTACATTGTAGATTCTCACTGAAGGCATCAAAACTATGAATGAACACATGTGGAGTTATGTACTTAACAAAAAAAGGTGAAATAACTGAAAACATGTTTTATATTCTAGTTTCTTCAAAATAGCCACCCTTTGCTCTGATTACTGCTTTGCACACTCTTGGCATTCTCTCCATGAGCTTCAAGAGGTAGTCACCTGAAATGGTTTCCACTTCACAGGTGTGCCTTATCAGGGTTAATTAGTGGAATTTCTTGCTTTATCAATGGGGTTGGGACCATCAGTTGTGTTGTGCAGAAGTCAGGTTAATACACAGCCGACAGCCCTATTGGACAACTGTTAAAATTCATATTATGGCAAGAACCAATCAGCTAACTAAAGAAAAACGAGTGGCCATCATTACTTTAAGAAATGAAGGTCAGTCAGTCCGGAAAATTGCAAAAACTTTAAATGTGTCCCCAAGTGGAGTCGCAAAAACCATCAAGCGCTACAACGAAACTGGCACACATGAGGACCGACCCAGGAAAGGAAGACCAAGAGTCACCTCTGCTTCTGAGGATAAGTTCATCCGAGTCACCAGCCTCAGAAATCGCAAGTTAACAGCAGCTCAGATCAGAGACCAGATGAATGCCACACAGAGTTCTAGCAGCAGACCCATCTCTAGAACAACTGTTAAGAGGAGACTGCGCCAATCAGGCCTTCATGGTCAAATAGCTGCTAGGAAACCACTGCTAAGGAGAGGCAACAAGCAGAAGAGATTTGTTTGGGCCAAGAAACACAAGGAATGGACATTAGACCAGTGGAAATCTGTGCTTTGGTCTGATGAGTCCAAATTTGAGATCTTTGGTTCCAACCGCCGTGTCTTTGTGAGACGCAGAAAAGGTGAACGGATGGATTCCACATGCCTGGTTCCCACTGTGAAGCATGGAGGAGGAGGTGTGATGGTGTGGGGGTGTTTTGCTGGTGACACTGTTGGGGATTTATTCAAAATTGAAGGCACACTGAACCAGCATGGCTACCACAGCATCCTGCAGCGACATGCCATCCCATCCGGTTTGCGTTTAGTTGGACGATCATTTATTTTTCAACAGGACAATGACCCCAAACACACCTCCAGGCTGTGTAAGGGCTATTTGACCAAGAAGGAGAGTGATGGAGTGCTGCGGCAGATGACCTGGCCTCCACAGTCACCGGACCTGAACCCAATCGAGATGGTTTGGGGTGAGCTGGACCGCAGAGTGAAGGCAAAGGGGCCAACAAGTGCTAAACACCTCTGGGAACTCCTTCAAGACTGTTGGAAAACCATTTCAGGTGACTACCTCTTGAAGCTCATGGAGAGAATGCCAAGAGTGTGCAAAGCAGTAATCAGAGCAAAGGGTGGCTATTTTGAAGAAACTAGAATATCAAACATGTTTTCAGTTATTTCACCTTTTTTTGTTAAGTACATAACTCCACGTGTTCATTCATAGTTTTGATGCCTTCAGTGAGAATCTACAATGTAAATAGTCATGAAAATAAAGAAAACGCATTGAATGAGAAGGTGTGTCCAAACTTTTGGCCTGTACTGTATATTAAGCCCTGTTTCCACCAAGCAGTACAGTTCAGTGCGTTTTTTTTCCATTTCCACTGTGAAAAGTTGTGGATGGGACCGATGCAACCGTTCTGTATCATCCCCATTTTTTGTACCCCCTCTGTTGGGGTACCTAGCACACAGATCTGGTACTAAAAGGTGGAGCTGTGAACACTTCAGTCTGTTGATTGGTCAATAGCGGACGGTCACTCTGCTCAGGGCTGAGTTGTGGCTGGTTTTGAGGCTCATATAACCACTGTTGATGGAGTGGAAAGTTTTATTAGTGGAGAGTTTTATTAGTAAACTGTAACTATAAAATGAAAGGATGTTTTGCTGCCTCTTGCAGCAGAACAGCAGAAAAAATAACTTTATTCACTGGGCTGACTGCTGGCAACTTTTAGGTGGAACATTGACTTGTAATGTTACTCGAAGATGAAGACGTGAATCCATCAGCACAACCTTAAAATTCACTGCCAACTTTGACCATTACTTTAGACATACACTTTTAGTAATGAGTGGATCTTCAAGCGTTTAGAATTATATATCAATTCTGACCGGGTTGTGTGTACTGCTTATATCCCAATCCTCACTCTGAGAAAAAAAAAGTGTTGCAGAGCGTTGTTCATGTGAGCTTGCCTGAGAAGGACTAAATGGACAAACCTGCTATTTTTAAATATCCCATGGAGAGAGACTCTCACTGCAGCCTGTTTTATTTTGTTCTGAAAATGTCAGCGTTTAGCCTCGTTCTGTGGACGATAAACGAGGCACACATAAAGGAGGAAATACAGTAAGTGCTGGATGGAGCAGTGAGTGACAACAACCCCGCCCACATGAAAGAGTATTGATTGCAGTGGAAACACTGGGGTCTAGGTACCATGTCTGAAGGGTTGGATCCACAGGTACCATACCGAAAGTGTTTGGAGGAGACGGGGCTTTAGAGCCACTGTAAAAACTGTAAAAACATGATGGTGTAATATAGTGATCTCCACAGGCGAGGACCTGCTCCCTATGTGGATATAAACGGCTCAGTTTAAGGTAGCGAAAACACCATGATTCTTATTTTTAGGTGACTATACACTAAAGAAAATATACTTATATTCCATTTCTGCCAATATATATCCCCCCTAACACTGGACCTTTGACTGGGATGCCCTTTGTACAAGTGAATGACCAAGCAGGAAACCTTTGATTCATAGGACACGTTTTAGACCTATCAAACAAACAAATGGAATGTGAAAAAGTGAATGTTTTGTACACAATGCATCTCTATTTGTTTCAGTATTTATTTTCCTCCATTTTTCTTGGCTTTTCTTCTTTTGCCTATACTTTTGTTCCATTTTATTTTTAAATTGTTTTGGTCTCAATCTGCAACTGTTTCTGTGAAATAAGTTTTTGCAAACCACTATAAGTAATCAAAAGGAAATAACTAAAACACGTACGGTCGGCTTGTTTTTTGATCTTGAGGGTGACGGACTCCCCGGCCATCTGCAGGAGGTGGATGGCCTCACTCAGTGGCTTTCCCTTCAGACTGACCCCGTTGATGGCCAGGACTCGGTCCCCTATATGGATGGCCCCGGTCCTGCAGGGTTAGGAGAGCAGAGGAGACAGAGATACCAGACTATACCAGACAGTACCAACAGGCGGGCCGGTGGAAACCTGTCAGGCTGCCAGTGCGCCGACTGGGACGGAAACAAAGAGGCTTCTTGTTGTAGAAAAGGACGAGACAGACATTGTTTACTGTCTTGTTTACTCAGAAAAAATCCAAAGGGGACCACTACTGATTTGTGCAGCCTTAGCCTAATGTTAGTATCACCATCTTCTCAAATAACTGTCTTTACCCCTGACCTTTCATTCCTCACCTCTCCCCCTGTTCTTCTCTCACCTCTCTGCCAGGCCCTTCTTGGTGAGGCCAGAAATGACGATGGGGTCAAAGGGCTCCTCTGTGCCAGAGATCGTGATACCCAGTGGTCCGTTATATCTCTTCAGCTCAACTGTGTAGATTATAGAGCCCGACATCTCCAACTCATCTACAACACATGGAGGAAACCATAGATACCGCACATAAGACTCAGGAATATATAGACGTAGGTTATCCATGAAGACCTATACTACATCTTACAGATGTTAAAAAAGTATCTAGTTACTTCCTGTACTTTTTGTTTTTGGAAATGTGTTCATGACTCTTTATCATTTTTAACTAGACTGAGCTATAACCCAGTTTCAGCTCTCTGTTTTCTATTTGAAAATTCAGCCTTTACTACTCAACATAGGCTGCTGCTTATAGGCTCTACAGCTGCAAAAAAGACAAGTTTAAAAATGTGGTACACATTAATACCCCCTTTTCACCAAAATCAGTACATGTACAAGGGTTTTTTAAACAGGGGAAAACCTAGTAAAAATAGGCAATAGACTCCTTTCCCACTGCCAGTAAACCAGAGCCGTGTGCACAGGCCTGCAGCAGACGAGTATCTCTGTGGGTGTCACATTCAATGTAATAGACATGCCGTAAAACGTATTAGTAAACAGTACAAAGCAGCATGGAGGCCAGTAAAATCTTTATAGTGGTTACTTCTCTTTATACACTGTATCTCTTAATTATTCAGTCTATCTTTCAAACTCGGTGTTCAAGCACTGCTTGGAGGGAGCCTGAGCCGATCAGAGCCGGGGCCAATAAATACCTGTGACTACTGCAGAGTCATTTGACCTGGGTGTGAATGCTGGTTGAAACCTTTGCCATCACATTGAAAAGCCAGATATAAGCAGGTGTTGCTTTGACCTCAGCTGCTGCCCTTGTTTGGTCATTGTATTTAATACATTTTGGATATGTTGTGCCTGAAAACACTACACATTTAATCACAAATAAAAACCATTATCTAGATAAAGGTTATTGCAAATGACCAAGTAATGAACAGGGTACAATTAAACCCAACAGAAAACCCCCCACATTATTTCTCATTTTACTGCTCCTAGATATTGTATATATAATTTAATTTTCTATGATATTATACTTAATATATTTAGAGACTGTTGGGTGACAAAACAAAACACTAAAGTATGTCAACTTGGGCTCTGGAAATTTATGATAGACATCTTTCTTAACATGTTTATGAAAAACGAATCGATTATTGGTGCGAAAAAAAATGGTTAAAGCAAATCATTGTTACTTGCAACCCTAGTCCAGTGGTTCCCAACCTCGGGGTCGGACCACCATCATGGGGTTGCAAAGAGAAAAAACAAGTTTAAAAAGTTCAGCAACACAAATTTGAGTTCTTTTTCTTTTTCAAAAAGGAACTGCTGGTTTAATCTTTGATACTGTTGTGTATTTTATTAGCTTATCATATGTTTTTATATAAAATATTGACAAGAAGACTAGCTAGTAAACTTTAAAATAATTGTAATGGAGTAAAGAGTATAATATTGCCTCTGAGATGTAGTGGAGTTAAGTATTAAGTATTGCGACAAATGGAAAAAAATTAAAGGAATACTCCACCCACAAAATAACCATTTGATCAAAACACGTATTTTTGCTATAAACTCACTATTTAAAACATGTATGCATGTGAGAAGAGCACCTGGGCAAGTGCATGCATTTGGACTCTGCTCGTGTAGTCATTAAGCAGAAGTGCTTAATGCTAAATGCTTGTGTCTGTTACACCGTCTATTTAAGGTGGGAATATTATGCCGTTGTGCTGCCCCGACGTTTTGCATATAAGGTACGATCACAGAATGGGGGGACATACTGGTCGTACCTTAAATCTGCCACAGCAGGTAGTAACAGTGCTGAAATGGTGTCTGTAGAAACAGGACATGGGCGGAACAGGTGTGACATTTTGACGACGTGTTATACGTGCAACCCACTATGGGAGATTTAAAAATGGGCTGTTAGCAATTAGCGGCTAACTCAAAGACTTACCATCCAAGTAGAGGACCAGATCAGCCGCCATTTGACAGGGACGATAAATGATTGTTGTTGCCTTGTTAATGCCATTGCTGTTATTTAGAAAGCGCTGCCGAAGTGTACGTTATATTTTACATTAGAGCCTGACGTTGCTGTCTTACATGTCACGCCCGTCACACCTCTTTTGATTCCGCAAAGCTGCTGTGCAATATGTAATCACACACTGGAGCCTAATGATGCCGCCGTCGTTTGGTTCTGGGTAAAACTTGTGGGTGAAGTATTCGTTTATGTACCTCAAAACTGTACCTAAATACTTGAGTAAATGTGCTTAGTTACTTTCCACAGGTTGTATGTTTGACATTTTAAGGGACTAATGTACCAATGTTGTCCTCATCTTTCTGGATGCGGAGTTTGACCATGTCCTCAGCCTGCTGCAGGACGTGCATGGCGTCCTCCATGGTGCAGTTCTCCAGACGCACACTGTCGATGGCCAGCAGCCGGTCTCCTGGCTCCAGAGTGCCTGTTCTAGCAGACACAAAAACGAGAGGATCACAAGTATCAACTGGGCCCCAGGAGCTGCTCCTCCTGACTCACTGAGAATCCTATTAGCGTTAGTGTCTCACTGGGATCCTCGGGGGTCACCGTAACCTCACCCTCAACCTAATCAACACTGAGCCCTTCTGAAATGTAGCTGCTCTGCCCTACTGATCCAGTTTTGATAGCTCAATCCAATTAGGCTTGTATAACACAGTGGATTCACAAAACAATTTTATTTTGCTCATGAAATAATCCCACATAAGCCTAGAAAACCTAGTTCACCCTGACTGTTAAGTGTTGAGTAACAGTGTCTCCTTAATGTGACCTGAAAAGCGTTGTTGTATTTACAAAAAAACTAAACATGTACCTAGTAATATGATTATTTCTGTGTGACGTTGGGACATACCTGTGTGCTATGCTTCCTTTTCTGATGTCAGAGATGATGAGGGGCTTGCCAGGTTTCTTACTTGCTGGTGAAAGACAAGAAAATAAAGTGTGTTTTTATTCTAGGACATTTGATACGAGGATAAACCATTTGAACTCCCTTTTCTTTTTGGTGCACTAATCATACTCAGCTTCCTGTTTGTGTTTGCCCAGAGCACAAAGAGTAATGATGAAAGCTGGTACAGGCCTGTATTATTCAGAGGTAATGAGGTATGTGCCCTCGTGGAGTTTTATGGATCACAGGACATTGATTCAAAAGAAGATTTACAGTTTGCGGGTCTGTTGAGTATTATTGAGCAACACTGCCCCCTGCTGTGTGTTGCCTTCATAACAAACTCACCACTGATGGTGATGCCCAGCTCCACTCCTCTCCTCTTTGGTAGTTTAACGTGGAAGGTGCCGCTGCTGGGAACCACTGACTCTAAATTGGGATTTTAAGTGAAGATAAATATCAGAGGAAAGACACAAATACGCTGAGAGATTTCACACAATAAGAATTTATCTTCACAATTTGATACCTGCGACATCAAACTCAATCTCCACTGTGACTTTATTGGCCAGAGCGGAGTCTCTGAGCAGCTGATGGGCTTCCTCCAAAGTGCCGTCTTCAGTTGGGATCCCATTAATGGACAACAGTCTGTCTCCGACCTGCAGCAGCCCACACCTCCACACAGAAAACACACACAAAGAGTCTTAGAGTGGAAATAAAGCTCATGTGAGAGACTGCCGCCCCCCACAACAGTTTGTATGAAATTAAATAAAACGAAATGAAATGAAGTAAAACAAAATAAGATCAAATAAAATAAAATAAAAATAAAAATGTAATTGTGTGTAAACATTACAAAATAATGTAAAAAAAATAATAATAATTAAAATTGACCACAATTCAACTCGGGCTTCAACTAACAATTATTCAAAGTATTGAAGTGAAAAATTACCATCACAGTTTCCCAGAGCCCAAGGTAACGTCTTTAGCTTAATTATTCATTCAGAGGGTGTCACTAGGATAAATATCTTTTTCACAAGAGACCTGAGAACAAACTACATACTGGTATATAAAATAATTACTTCTTTTTTTTTTTTTGCAGAAACAAGTATTCCCCAGCTTCATTGTTTAGTCCAACCAACAGTTATAAACACAAAGCTATTGAATTAGAAATGATATAAAACCAAATACATATCAACTTCTCACAAATAAAGGAATACTTCACCCCTGAAATGATCACTTGTGTATCAGTGCTGAGCAAACAACTGGAAAAATGGAAGTTGGATTATACTGTGTGAGCTGTGTGAGAGTCTGTAAACAGATGTTTTGATAGAGTTTTGCTGTTAAACGCAGACCGCTATGACTTCAATTTATCAAGATTTTTTGCATTCTTCATTCACTGAGGAGACGTGAGAGAAACAACATTGTCTTCATTAACTCAGTGTAACATGGGGTGAAAAAAATGATACACAAATGATCATTTTCGGGGGTGAAGTATTCCTTTGAGGCTGGATGCAGCAAATGTTTGTCGTTTTTTGCTTCAAAAATTACTTAAATTATACAAATGTCTGTTGATAAACTAATCGATTGATCTACTAATGGCTTCGACATGCCCACACTTGCATCAGCAAGGCTTGTGATTTCTGCTTTCAGTGAAAAGGGTCTGATGAGTGACACACTGAGCCGATGTGACACCACATGTCACATAGGCTGAACGTTTAAAATGCCATCTATAAAATGATATGGCCTCTGGACTTGACGTAAACACACTGAGCACTGACCTTACTCGAACTTGGAAAATCACCTCAGCAAAGCGAGTGCTCGTACGGATTAAAAAAAAAAAAAAAAATCCCACATATCACACATTTAATCAGACCCCTAATTGCAAGGGCAAACACCGAAGCACTGTCAACTGATATTAATTCACTAACCACCGCTGCTCATTAACCTTGTGTGGAGGCTGAGACACCAACATCACAGTCGGATGCTGTACTTGAGTCACTCCTGTCCAACTGCTGCTGGACTAATCGTGTTACAAGAGCCAGGGGACACGGCCCTGCACAGACACCATCATTAATCTTGCAAGACAAGGACAGATACAACACACTGGCCTGATCAGAGCTGTGTGTTAATGACACTGCAACATGCAGTACTGATCAATTCAGTACTTCATACCAGTAGGGAGGTTTTTTCACCATTAAAAAACACTGGCTGGATCAATGCCTCATGTCTAATGTGTGATAAATTAACTTCTGGAGACGACTGCTCCATGAAGTTCGTCAGATTTAAAGTAACTGTTGTTATAAATAACTGAGAACATCTGTTGACCTCATTATATTTTGGGCAGTGACCTCCCTCTCTAAAGAAATAAACTGTCATCATGCCAAGTGTTGTCGAGCACTTACGTCTCGTGACAGGAACTGAGAACTTTCCAGTTAAACACTGGTTCCAAATTGTCCAATCCATCGCCTCTGAGCTTATAAATTTCTTTCTCGATGCCAGCATGTTTTTCAGACATTTTCATATTGCATAACTATGACGTCAAACTCATTCATTTACGCTGCTGGAAACTTCTGACAAGAAGGAGTCATGGCGGGGATAAAGAAACGGTCCAATGTGTGGCTTCATTTCATAAAGAGGGATAACAACAGTGCAGCTTGTAATGTCTGCTAAATGATCATTTTGAGTAATGGTGGAACCACCAGCAGTATGCTGGAACATCTTTCTACACAACATAGGCTTAAATTCCAGGAATGCCATGTATGTGACACTCTATGCACGAGTTAGCCTACTGCTTTCCAACTGAGTGTAAATATCAAAATATAAGCAGGCAGGCTCAGCAGATTTGATAAATGAAAACGAACACTGTTCAAATATCTTTTCATTTAATCCATTTTAGATGATGACAGACTGTTGCTACAGCTAGCTTGACTCGCCCATCAGCTCCCTCTTTCATGCTTGCTGCACAGTGTTAATTCAGCGAGGAGCACTTTAGTCAAAGAAAACTTTTATTTCCATTTGCAGTGTTATATTTGGCGGTATGGCTCTGTTCTGGGGCCTCTACCTTTCCTAGGCCTACGCAGAAAGCCCCAAAAACCCCAAAGCACACCTCTCCACATTTCCATTTCTACATGGAAAGCCTAAGGCAGGGAGAGCAGCAGCAAAGATCCCCTGGGAACAGAACAGAGCAGCATCAATGACAAACAGAGATGACACTGATAAGTCAGACACAACATAAAAAAGGAGGAGCTGGGGTGGAGGTGGGTTGCAAAGCAGCTTGCAGAGGAAGCAGCAACAGTAGGAAGGCCAGAGCAGTTTAAATAGGGCCTTGAATGAGATTTGGTTGCATAGAAAGGAATCATGTGATCCACCAGATGACTCCCTTCCATCAGTCAGTTGCTCCATCAGTTGAATGGGCTGTTTGACATCAGCTGATGTAGCTGGGATGTGAGCTGAGCTTAACATCGTGTCCTGTCTGAACTAACACTATGCTTTTGTCAATTTTTGTCAGCAAAAATAAAAAATATTCGTTGATAACCTGCTTTTCATCACCCAAACAGGACTTAATCTAAAATTAAAAGTAGCTTTTGTAAAATGAGAATTATGACAAAACGTATATAATTTGTCATGAACATATAAAAACTAAGTGATAATGTAGTGACGGACGGTGCTAATAGGTGAGAAGAAATCACTGAATTTAAAAGTAAATTAGGTGCCGCAATTAACACTATTCATTCTGCACAGGGTGTAGTCCTACCTCAGGAATCAATATGGGAATCAATAAAGAATTAAACGGATGAGCAGAATCAATAATGGCTTTGATGTCAATAAAATCTTATCAATTCCTGTCTCCTTAAAACAAAGCAATATCTACTTAAGACACACTGTTATAAGTTATATAGCCTACTTACATTTACCAGTTGTGACCAGTTCAACCACAGACTGTTTTTCTTCATGCTTTATTTGAATATTTTGACTTCTGTGCCTCATTTAGATGCAAAATAGGATGTATGCTCTACAGGATGACTTTTTTCCTGCAACTCTACTCATGGATGAGAGGCTCGTTCTTGTGACAGCACAAGATGTAAACATTAATGGCTTCTCCTCTGCTGAGCTCTAACATTAGTGGTGCTAGCTAGTAGTAGGTGCACACTTCCTTCTGTGCAGTGATACAGTGATACGCGGGTGTAGTTTGGTAGAAAGAAAAATAGTTCCTACGTGAAGCTGCTCAGAACAAGGTCTGTGGATTATGTTGAGTAACCTGGTCATGATTTCTGGAAAGAGAGATTTTTTCAAATATATATTTTTTAGCACTTTAAGCACCACAAGTCGAGTGCCGTCTAGTTCCATTATACTGGAGAGAAGGCAGACATCTGTACGGCCGTTATCTCCAACACTCAACAACTCACACCAAAAAAATCTAGACTGATGAATAGACACAGGTAAGAGGAAAAATATTTATTTTTTATTTTGGGGTGAACTGTCCCTTTAATTATCTTATGGCCCCTTCTGTAGGTCCTGACCTCATATTTGGGAACCACAGCGTGAGACAAACGCAGCTCTAATGCGCCTGCCTTCAGCTGAAATACTCATTGAGACATGAGGCTAAAATTATCCTTTTTTCACATGTGCCTGAATGATTAGCACTGCGGCCGTCTGCTTCAAGGTGACCCCCTATATGATACTTGTTTACTCGTTAGGTGTCTCAGTGTGTTACCTCTCAGCTGGGCTGTCGGGCTCAATAAAGCGGATGACTGGGGGAGCGGACAGGGTTTCTGTGGCAAAGACACCCCCCTGCAGCTGGATCCCAAAACCTGTGAGCGGATCCCCCCTCAGGATGACCTCGCTTGTTTCCACATGAAAAACCTGCCCCCCTGGGCCAACAGAGCTGGACGCCAGAGATACTGAGGGACGGGGGAGGGAGGGGACACATCAGAGTGAGATATTAGTGGAGAAGTGGCAGATGAATGGAGCAAGAGAGGGATTGTGGGAGACAAAAAAATGGAGAAGGATAAAGGGAAGAGACGTGCACCCACAGAGATGACATGGGGATGGAAAGGGAATGAGTCAGAGATTACGTCAGTCATGTTTACGTCAGTGATCAGTCAAGTCTGTTCACACACTGAGGGGGTGAAACAGGAGCTAAAGGTGTTTTAACAGCGCTGTGAAACATGTTTAAAGGGTCAGTTCACCTAAAAAAACAACAACAACTCAACCACAAAAAAAAACAGACATACACTGCCATTCAAAAGTTTGGAACTGCCTGCTACAAAAGCTTGACTGGGTGCAGTCAGATGTATGGGAGCACTTCTCTATATTTCTGAATGGTCTTTCATGTTGTAGAAAGTCCTTTGTACCAATAATGTTACTTTGTATGAAGGGATTGTTTTGTACATGAACAAAGCTTTACAATGGTTCAACCAGACTGACATTTGAAAGGGAAGAAAGAGACAAAGATCATTCTGAGCTACAGTTCAATAAGAAAAGAGGAAGTCACCGGTTATTGGTAAAAGAAACTGGAAGTTTAGCATCAAACCGTGCCGATTTAAAGGTCTAATGTGACGTGAATGTGATTCGCTTTGCAGGTTATTTAGAATTGAGTGGTTATGATTGTTATTTTTTAAAGAAACTTCTTTGTACTGAACAAATATTCTCTATAAAAACTGCTGACAGTGAAGACAGGGATGGTTAAGTCTGTGGATTATCTTCATTTAACAATCACTACATTTATTGCAGCTCTGTTATGCTGTAGGGGGCATTTTGCTGGCACAGTTTGGGACCACTTCATGGGAGGGCAAACTGCGGCTCCGGAGCCACATGTGGCTCTTTATGGCTACCTTTGAAATTATATGGGAGGTATTAATTTTTATTCATCATTGCTGTAGGCCGAAAGTGTTTCTTAAATTCTCCAACTGTAAAGGTGTGTAGCCTATACACGGAATAAAAAACATTTTAACATTTCAACAACTAAATGTGCTTCGTCAGTCAATGACCTGGTGCCTTTTCCTCTATATTTTGCCAAACCTCAATACCAGTGGTTGTTCTTGAGTCTCCCTAGTTAAGCTAGCTATGAATTCTAAATCCAAAAAAGGTTAAAAGAATTGAGAATTCAATAGTGGGTGGAGAGGTTCATCTGCTTTCACAACCAAAATTGCAAAATAAAAGAACCAAATAATTATAAAAAAGTCCAGTTCAACATATTAGTGAATGCTCATTTAGATCTGTTGGCTAATTTAGACTTAATAGGCTGTGTTACCTTCATTATGAAGCTTGAATATGTTGAATATGTTTTTGGGGGCTCCAGGCATTTTATTTTTATTTTTCTTTTGTTCTGACTGATCGCCTTTATGCTATGATGAAACATTTCTATCCTGACGGGAATGGTCACTTCTGTCCATATATATAGATATTAGATATATACACCCACAAGTCTGTATGTTTGCAAAATCAAATAAAGGCCATTCCTAAAATGAGTAAACCAACCCAAGTTTGAATGATATTCCCTGCAGTGATAAATGAAAACGTAGATATCTGCTTTTGCAAACAAACCCTTCATATCAAACTGCCAAAAAAGTAATAAAAAGGTGTTTGGATGGCGGAGATGTCTGCAGAGACATGTTCAGTTCTGTGAACATCACAAACAATCCCTTTCACCTCCACTGTATTAAGCTGGAGACAAAAATCTTATCAACATACACCCATTTGCCAGTTTATTATTAGGTGCATCGAGCTAAAAGCCTGACACTACAGTCCTGCAGAAAATACAGAGAGGTGGTTCTGATATTTAGCCGACCCTCATTGAAAAAAATGCTGTGGGTAAAACAATGTGTTTAATTTAGTTGAACCGACCCTTTAATGTGGTTTAAAGAAAAGGAAAGAGTAGACAGTTGGTCATACATGAGCTTTTGTGGTCCTTCTTCCTGTTCCTCCTCTTGCCCGTGGAGCTGCGGGGGCTGGTGGGTGCGATCGGAGGGATGGGGCAGGGCAGCGTGTTGCTCCCCTGGCTGCTGAAGCCTGAAGTGGCTGTGGAGGAAGGGGAGAAGCCACCACTCACCAGAGCTGAAAGGAGACATAGCACTAAACGTATCAAAGGGATGGTACAGTCAGATTAAAACCATATTTCATTCACGTCCACAGCAGCAGCAGCACACGCTCATGTGAACATGCAACAAAAGAAAGAACTGTGGTAACAGTGTTGGAGTAAACCTCTTGGAAAAGATTTAACAAATGCGGTGAAGAAAAGGCTCCTGCTATGGTGTCTCGCCAGCAGCAGTGCTGTCACAAGTGATAACTTACATTTGCAGTGGTCCTGCTGGTTGTGTGGGTGGCTTGGGCTGCTCCATGTCTTGCTGTGGCTGGCATGTGGGGGATGGCAGTAGTTGCTGCTTTGGTCCCAGTGATGATGGTTGCTCTTCTGCACTTTTACTGCAGCAACATGGAGGCAAACAGATCCATTAAGTAAACCAGATCCACTCCTCTGTTGTGCACGTTTCTAATTTTTACCCATGAAATCACGCTTTCATTCCCATGTCTAAATTTGCACCACATGACGCAGTGCCTGGAGGATAATTCAGAGCAGGGTAATTGATATTTGATGTTTTCGTCATGGTACACTAGATTAAACCCTGTGGTTTAATGTATTTTGATGAGCATCTGAGAATCAGTTAGACACACAGAGCTGAACTGGCTGAATGGGCTAAAAAAAAAAATCTTACTTTTACTAGCAAGGTTCCAAAACGCTAAGTGCAAACTGGAGATCATTTTTATAATTTCATTTTCAAAAGAACGCGGTGCAGAAAGACTCTGAGTCAGTTGACCGCTGGGCATGGTGATGTTGTGATACTGGCTGTTAGCAGACATGTGGCTTGAACTTGATTGAGCCCAGCTGAAAGCTTGATTGCTGATGATGCAGGGAGTCTGCACCTCATTGGCAGACAGCTTGATCTTAACATGTTCAATTTAATCCTGTGTGATTTGTATTCATGTGGTTTTTATTTAGCAATTCTGTTGACTTCCCCACCCATGAAAAAGAGAGCACGGATCGTTGTTAATTCTGAAAGGCACTTTAAGCCTGTATAAACAGTACATTCAGTCAAAGCGTATCTGTGAAGCATTCAAAGAGAAACAACTGACCTCCTGTATGACACACACCTCAATAATTAACTGTCCTTTACATATTCATGCAGCTAAAATTGTCACAGAGCGTTACATGTGACAGTAATCCGTGCTGCTTCATTTGCAGGGGTCTAATCTCTAACAACTTGCTCACACGGATGGAGGATTTGCTGGAAACATGGATGACTGCAGTAGAGCCTGGGACGTTTGCCATGTTCAGGGAACCTGGTTAAATCCAACTCATATGTAATCAGAATACAAGCGGGAGAACCCCCAGCCCTTTCCGGAGAACCAGTGTCTATCGGACTCAATCAAACCTGTGAAGCTTCGGCTCTGACGGCTTATGTTAAGCTCACCTAGGGGAAGCTCTCCAAGAAATGGTGTTTTCGATCAACGCCGCTGGAAAGAAACATTAACTTCTAATCTCTCAGTGGCCATATCAGTCTTATTAAATCCCCAGAGGAGATTAGACAAATTGCATCTTATAATCATGGCTTATCCTGGGGGGAAAGAAGCTGTGAAAATTTCGTTTTATCATCACGCCATGATGCCTTATTCAGGAAGTGAATCATTATTGAATTGAAATTTCAGAAGATACATGCCTGTCATTTGATAGAGAAGTGATGACTGTGCTGCATGTTGCATTGAGACTATTCAGTGGTCAGCAGGAGCCATGAAGTTCAAGTATTCATTTGTAAGCGCTCATCAGAGGATTTAAAGGGAGAGTTCACCCCAAAAATCAAAAACAGACATTTTTTCTCTTACCTGTAGTGCTATTTATTCTCAGTCTAGATTGTTTTGGTGTGAATTGCTGAGTGTTGGAGATATCGGTTGTAGAGATGTCTGCCTTCTCTCCAATATATTGGGCACCAAATAATATATTTGAAAGACTCTACGGCAATGTCTCTTTCCAGAAATCATGACCAGGTTACTCAAGATAATCCACAGACCTTGTTGTGAGCAGTTTCATGTAGAAACTATTTTCTTTCTCCCAAACTACACCCGTATAACCGTGTAGAAGGAAGCATGCGTCTACTGCTAGCTCACCTAGCACTACTGAGCTAGCTAATGTTACATCTCACGAGCACAAGCCTCTCATCCATGAGTAGATGCATGCTTCCTTCTGTCAATAGTTACAGTTGGTGTAGGGCAGTAGACAGAAAATAGTTCCTTCTAGTGTTGTACTACTAATACTGGAATCTAACCTCAATACAATATCTTGAAAAATATCAACATTCAATACCATTCTCAACACCATACGTTTGACATTAAGGCACACGATCTATGATTTATATTTAATGATAAATGAAACATGGCAACGATAACCTTTCTTTTACTGGTTAGGACTGTACTCACTACTGGTAAACAATAACAATAATTAAAATGTTTTTACATTATTGAAAACGATATTCGTCTTGTGGTAGTGCACACATTCAAAAGACAATAAGTGCTAGAAAAAAGCAAAACAAAACTGTGCCACAAAATCCTATATGCAACTAAAGTGAATGAGACGAATGACAAGTGCGAGAGAGGAGGCAGGGCTGTGGGGGAACTGCAGCGGTGTGTGTGTCAACCCACTGTTAGGGAGAGGGTAGAGAGCGAGAAACTACTATTGATAGAATTGATACCAACAAAAATGAGTATTGAAACCAGTTAAAATAGAACTGACATGTATTGATAAATCAACATATTTGAAAACACTAGTTCTTCCATGAAACTGCTCACAACAAGATCCATGAATTATCAGCGTAACCAGATCTTGATTTCAGTAAAGAGACATTGCTGTTGAATTTTTCAAATGCACTATTTTGAGGTATGAGCACCACAAGCTGAGTGCCATCTAGTTCTATTATATTCAAAGGAAGGCAGACATCTCTGCGGCCGATATCTCTGACACATAGCAACTCACACCAAAACAATCTAGACTGATTAACAGCACTACAGTTAAGAGGAAAAATATGCATTTTGATTTTGGGGTGGACTGTCTCTTTAAGCCTGTGTAAATATAAGACACTGATCAAAACAAAATAAGTACACAAGGATAAAAGTCAGACAGAAGTTTGATAAATAAAAGTGAAGACTGGATCAGGGGAAAAAGAAGAAACTGTAGAAGAAAACACCCAGTGACCCGCAGAGAAGACTAAACTACATCTTATTTCCTTTGTCATGGTGTATGATTCTTTCCATGCTCACATGTTAAGGAGTCCCTGCAGCTGCTGACCCAGAAATAAGTCTGCAGAACATGGCACGAACATGATCTCTGACAGAGAAAGTGTTTACAGTGTTTGTGAGTATGTGTGTGTGTGTGTGTGTGAGAGAGAGAGAGTGTGAGTGGCTTGTTGGTATGCATGAGAGTGTGTGCCTAAAGGCAGAGGGGTTGTGGCTGGCAGCGTACACAAACACACACATACACACACACACACACACACACACACACACATGCTGATTCACAGTGCATGGGAGAAGGCAGCTGAGAGGCAACCAGGCTCTTTACAGCTGTAGGTGGAGTCGAGAGAAGCCACAATACGTATGGTGACACCAGCCTGTATATTCTCCACAATGTACACAAAATATTTAAATGGTGTGGTGCTGAAATGATTAGTCAGCGTTGTCCTCAGTGAATATTTTGCATTGCCTTCTACATTTGTTTGTGGGCTCTGGAGACTTGTATTGGGCATTTTCCACCATTTCAGACATTTGACAGGCTAAATAATATATTTATTAATTCAAAATAATCACACATATCACTCCCTCTTTCACTGCTGATTGTCCTATCTCTCGGATTCCTTTTTCTGTTGCAGTAGATTTGCTGTGTTTTCTGTGTCACTTCCTGGACATACCTGCATCTTGCAGCCTGACGGGGAGTCTGCTCTGACTGGCAGGGAGAATCTCCAGTTTAACAACATCAGAAGTGCTGGCAAGTAGCTGCGTGGCCTCCATCAGAGAGCAGTGCTCTGTGCTGGTCCCGTCTATAGACAGAAGGATGTCACCTGCGTGCAGCGCTCCACACCTGAGACAGTGAGAACAACTGTGTCAGGAAACCTTTCGTTTTACAACAAATTGTGTGTAAAGCGGTATACTGCAAGATGTAAGTCCCACCTTTCCACCACGCTGGCTGGCTTTATCTTGTCAATAATAATAACTTGTTTGCTCCTGTATATTGTTGTGGTGAGGCTGATCCCGAGGCTGGTGGATGGACCTTTCACTATCTCCACCAGCAGAGGGCCCGAGGCTTGCTGCACTGCCTCTGAAACAGATCATACACACAGATATGAGAGAGGCCTGTAAGATTACTGGACGCAGCTACAGCCACAAACACAACATATTAATATGTGTCTCTTTTACAGTCTTAACCGATGATGAACAGACCCCCAAAATATGAGTTATGATATGATTTACATTAGATGGATTTCCTGACCTGCTGATGCAATGACTTTGCCTTGAAGACCAAAGTGGATTATACTGTTTTTCAAATGGTTTGGTTTTTCACTGTGTAAATTCTCACAGGCAAAATACTGCACATTTTCCAATTAATTTGGCATTAATCTTTTCATAACGCCACAAAAACTGATAACAGGATTGGATTTAGTTCACTTACACCACAGGTGGACAAAATGTTTTTCATGTAGGTATCACAGTTACTGAATATGGTCTTGATAAACATCAGAGAGGGACAATGGGATGTAAAATATACTGGAAGTGTTGTCAGAGGAGGAGGTGGACACAGAGGAGCAGACAGACGACATGCTGCCTTTGAGGACATCACAGCAGAGATATATTGGGGAGGGCTGCAACATGCCAGAAATAACATTTAACAAAATGGTCCCTAATTCATAGGATTTTTATTCTACTGGGACATTTGCTTATAATGTGTTTTTATTTTAATCATTTCTGTTTAATATTATTTTGAACAGGGGGAACACCAGAGGGGTGCAAAGCTGTGAACATCACACTGGTGTAACTGGTGTTTGTATAACATGAGTTTATTCAGTTGGCTGTAGAGGATACTGGGTTATTGTATGCAAATCTCAATGAGAAATGACAAAAAGAAATACAACTTATTGCCCTTTGGCACAGTTCCTTAAACATTTAATTGTTCTGACTTAATGACAAACGGACATACCATTTTGAGTGCAGCAGGGAAGGTCTTTAGCAGGACAAATAAAGCTTGTACTTTATTTAACCAGATAAAAGTCTCAATGAGATTAAAAGAGGTTCCTGGCCAACACAGCAGCATAAACATTGTTGCAACAATAAACACAAACAGACAAATACAACTGTCACACACCACAAATGAGCAAGCACATCGTCTAGTTAAAATGCAGTACATAATAATACATTAACAGGTACAATTTTCTAAAATGATTTCAGTGAATATTTTAGGAGCAGTAACGGTGTTCACAGCAATGGAGAAAAACTTTGACTTAAACTGAAGAATGAATGCAGGGTGCGAACTACAGGTGAGCTAGGGGCGGCTTGGCTCCTCTTAATAAGACATGAGCACCCATGAAAACATCCATTCTTTATCTGTAACTGCTTATCCTATTCAGGGTCCAGGGTCACAGTGTCCTTCTCAGGACATTGGAAGAGAAGCAGGGTACACCCTGGACAGGTCGCCAGACTATCACAGGTCTGACACATAGAGACAGACAACCATTCAAACTCACATACGGGCAATTTGGAGTCAACGACTAACCTAACTTGCATGTCTTTTGACTTTAGGAGGAAGCTGGAGCACCCGGAGAAAAAACATGCTGACACTGGGGTGTAGCACCAAAGTTTGGACCCAATGAATATGTGTTCTCTGTGGGCCCCTCCCGCCCATCCTCTCTTGATCTGTCTCTCATATTCACCTTTTGAATTTTTTTTGAAGGTCAGTTTTCCTTTCTTTCTTTCAGTCTTCTCTTTTTTGGGAATTCCCTTTCCCAGAGAAAGACAAAACAGTGTACGTTAGTGCTCCAGCAGCATAAGCAGTCACTCACTCTGCTCTGGCTGAGTTTACAGATGAATCCTGGTGCAGAGGTGGACTAAACCATTCTGCGTCTTTGAGGGGTGAGAGGAGCCTCAGAGAGCTTCCATAATTTTCATACAAAGTTTAGTCTTTTAACCACTTTATACAGCCAATTTTCACTCAGTTAAGGCACTAATAAGTACAAAATTTGCAGATTAAACCAAACTATTCATTCCAGGCTTTTCAAGGACTCCCCTCCCAATGGGGCCCTTTGTAATCAGTCCCACTTAAACCTCCAGTATGATGCACTTGCATGCAAACTCCACATAGAAGCCGGCAGGTTCAAACCCAGAACCCTCCTGCTGTGAAGCGACAGTGCTGACTGCCCCACCTTGCTGCCACCTGAAGACATGATTTGTAAAATTTTGGAGGGTCTCTAACATACTAAGAACATGCTACTTTTGCTGTGCATCTTTATTCTTCTGTATCCTCATTATCATGGGTCATATGTGAAATCAGGCTATTATTGATGTATGCTTCATGCATGAGAGTGATTCATCACTAATTCACTTTAATAAAGATACCGGCATGCACGCTATATGCCCGTGTGGAGGTTTGATGTGGTCATTAACTGAGTATTAGAGATCAGATGTGTTGACAGAGAGCAAGCAGGCCAACATGCTCTCAGCTATCAATGTTTCTGAAAATAAAGTGAGCTACCTCAAAGGCCGTGGTGTAGTTTGCGCTCTGAAATCGTGTTTTAATTTCTCCCATTTTCGAAAATGTTCCTTATAATTTGTGAACCCTCTGACTGGTTTAGTCTGGAGGCAGGAGGTTTGGATCCTAAACTCCCACATACAGAGAGATAATGTGTGTCAAATGTCCTTGGTGACCTGCCCTATTTTGCACAGAGCAGTTTGTGATCTTGTGAAAGAATTAGTCACCATGACCAAACGGGGGTTATAATCTGTAGTGAATTCCTGTCTTCAGTGGCATATTTTACTACTCTTTGACCCAACTGTGGGGATATATTTGTTTTTTTACATAAAAAAGATCTGACTTGCTCTGTACACTTACAGTCAGACTGATCTGTGTTTATTCCTTTTCACAACACCGTTTGCACCATTCACTGTGTTATATTTCATCAATAATTCACCTGCAGTAAAAGCTCCTCTGATACAGATGAGTAATACTCATTTTTTAAATAGATTAAGATTGAACCTGCCATGATTCAGGAGTGAAGAGAGATCCACACACTATAATAGAACACTGACTATTACCCATCTACCCTTTCCCTGTTCAATGTGTGCTCTTGGGCCAGTGTGACTCCCCTGGTGGCATCTCCAGCACCGACACTCACTCACATCCACGCTGCCGAACGGCCACTTTATTTACCCTCAGAGCAATGCTGCCCTACCATGCCTCCACATATTCCCTGTGTGTGTGTGCTCACCCATGACAGAGACGTCATACTCAATCAGGAACAGAGCTTCCTGGCCGCTCTGCATCAGCATGGTCAAAGCGTCGGCGTGCTTCTCTCTGTTTAAAGGCATCCCGTCGACGCTCAATACTCGGTCTCCGGCCTTCAAAGTGCCCTCTCTGGAGAAACGCGGGAGGAGAAAGGAGGCAAAATAATAAAACACGGGCGACCGGCTCGAGATGCTCATACAAGCGTTTAAGCACCAGTCACAGTAAATCATTAAACAGTTCCACATGAGTGTTCCCTCCCAGGTGAGATGAAGGATAAAAGAGATAAGCTGCTGTAAAGTCTTTGATGGTGAATTATGTTTGCTCCAGTGTTCTGGTGCACTTGGTTTTCGTAGGGAAAAGTAAAATGTTGCATTAGCCTCAGGATGAGTGCTGCCCTTTCTGTTTTGAAGATGTTTTATATGTGTCACAGCCACAATTTCAAGCGCCGGCCTGAGCGTAAAGACATAATGTGCATAGAGATGTTGTGGATCTAAAGCACAATTCTCAATCATCTAATCCCATATGGCTGCGCATAAATAGTTTCATTGCTGTTGTAGTAAAACACTTCCATTAGTCCATACATCTAAATATAAACATATAGAACCATGCATGCACGCACACATACAATCATTTGAATAGGCTCATTCATGCATGATCGAGACTCGTATATAGCTCCACATGTATACACACAAACACTAACTCATCTAGCCACGTCCTCACCTGTCAGCAGGACCTCCAGGCCTGACGTATGTAACCACCAGAGGACGAGACCTGCGCCAGTCCTCGTGGAAGCCTCCTAAAAACAAACAAAACACACAACATAAATCAGTGCAAACAGCTTATTATTTTTACTGATGGATTTACACAAAAACATCCGGTCCACCTACCTCTCATGACGAACCCGAAGCTGTTTCCCTCCTTGTGTAAACACACCTCTATGGTTTTGGTTAAGACTCCTGTGGGGTTCTGGACTAAGAGCAGACAGCAAAGGACAGACTCAGGAAATTAATGCTATGATTTACTAGAGCAGTGTTAGCAATGTGGAAGGCGTTCACCAAAGTTTGATTATAGTGTCATCTGAGTGTATAAGTGCTGAATCTTGAGAATGAACAAAGCATTGTGGAAATATGTTTAATTATTCTCAGTGGAGAAATTAATTCTCTGTATTTGACCCGTGCTAATGATTTCAGAGCAGTGAGCAGCCACAGCGCAGCGCCTGGGGACCAAGTGTGTTTCTGAGGCCAGTGCCTCGATCGAAGAAACCCAGTAAGTATTGATCTGGTGATTTGCAGGTCGAAAGATGTCTAGATGTTGAAGTTAAATTGGGGCTAATTTTGGCTGAGCATTTATAGATGTCTAGGTTATTCTGATCTGCAGCACAAATACATGGTAGCAGGAAAAAACTAATTGGCACAGAATGACCAAAACTTAGTAACATTTGCTGCTGAAAAATATTTATTTTTGATTTTGAGGTGAACTTTCCCTTTAAGGACACCTGCTGCTCCACTCATGCTCTTTTCTTGCTCCTTCCATCTAAAAAACATTACCGGAGCATCAGATCACACACCATCTGTCTCAGTAACAGCTTCTTCCCTCAGGCAGTCAGGTTGCTGAACAGTTGACGCATCCAAGCGCATTGCACGTTGTTGCTGTATATTGCATGCACTGTATATTGTGTGTAGTGTTCCTTTCTTGTTGTCTGGGGATGTGTGCCCTTTGTGTACGGCAGAGTGTCCCACTGAGCACAAGCATTTCACTGTATTTTTAATACACAAGACAATAAAGCTGAACTTTAACTTGATATGTTAATGCTACAAAAGTACAGTGTTTTGGAAGATTTTACCTTTTCACCAAACTTTAGCCCTAGAAATCATAAGCCAGGCGTTTCTTTTGGTCTGCAGCCTTCACTAATCAGCCTTTTTATTAATCCATTTCCTACCTTTGTGCATTTGAGCACTTTCTCTAAACGTCTTAGCATGTGTTGCACTAACAGGCTCAATATTCAAGCTGAACTTCACCTACCGAATGGAGGCAGCTCGTACTCCACCTCCAGCACAACTCGCTCCCCGATGTTCTTCAGCAGGCTGATGATCTCATCGTGGCGAAGCTTTGACAGGTTGATGCCATTCACTGACTTGATGTAGTCGCCTACATTCAGCTGGTCACTCCTGTGGAAAGTATGGACATATCATCAAGATTAAAGTTAGGCATAACTGGAAACTGTCCCGGGGCCCTAAAAAGCTGCAGATTCACTGCATGTCACTTGGTTTTTGGAACTGCAAGTTTGAGGGGTTTACTTCTAAAATCTGCTGCAGGTCGCTGTTCTTTTAATTCAAGACTGTTTCCCGTTCTGCACTGTAACTTTTATTCTTATGTTTTATACCTGTTTTATTCTATTTATAGCTTGTTTTAATTTTGTATTCTCTTAGCTCTTTAATGAGTGTTTTTAATTGTATTTAAATGTCCTTTTGTAATGTGTTTCTTCTGGCCCTCTGTATGTAAAGCGCTTTGAGTTGCCCTGTTGCTGAAATTTGCTTTCTAAATAAACTCGCCTTGCCTTAAATTCAAAACATCTATAATGTGAGAGATGTGGCTTATGGCATCAAACCCCACAGAGTGTTATCAACAACTCTAAAGAGCTTTTTAGCCATGTTTAGCTCATCTATTGGTTTGACAGCGCACACCTTTCATTTTCATCTCTCTAAACTCACTGTAAGCCACTTGTTTGTTACAGTTAGGCCCAACCATGGATGGATTACACCTTTTTGACGACATTAGGTCTGGTTCTTGAACTGGGTCCTTTCAGGACTGCTGCAACCTTGGTGCCATCCAGCGAACCAGCCCGCGTTTCCACTAGTTTTGATCAGAATCATCGTAATCAAGGATGTGCCATAAACACAGAGCATTGTATAGTGCACTACATAAGTTAACAGTAATAGCAAGATGGTGGATCGCATTGATTAGCCTCCCTGCAAACTTTTGTTCTGTTACTACAGATATCTGTTTAAATCAAAAAGCAAGTATGGAAAAATGGTAAATAAGATCACTGCATGATATTTTTTTAACCAATGATTACTCTCTTAACATCTCTGTAGTCAACTTCTCCATACTCTTTTTCCCACCTATAGAGTGTGGCAAGCCCAGTGATGTCATCACAGCTCGCACTTCAGGTTAAGAAAAACCTGCTAATTTTTGATTACAGCTGGGAGCTAACTTTTCAGATTCTGAACCAATTTAGTTTTGGTCAAAACGCTTCAAATGGTTCAAAATTAGGTGCAGGAACCAGAAGAGAACCCATTCCATGTTGGTGGAAAAAGGGGTAAAGAGTTGTACCAACCAGGAAGAGACTGAAAACGACCTCAAAGAAACATGATGTGACTTCAAAGAGATTTAAAAAGATAAAAAGATGCAAAACAGCTGTAAAGAGACACAGACTCACAGTGACTATAAAAAGGGGCAGAACAACCACAGAGACACAAAGAGACCGCAAAACGACCCAAAGCAATCATAAAGAGACTCAAAATGACCACAAACAGACACAGAAATAACGTGATGTGCGATGACTACAGAGAGATGCAAACAACAACAAAGAGGCTAAACAACTGTAAAGTCTGTGTGTCTTGCTCCTATGCAGGAGAGGTGGCAGGTGTCTGAGAGTTGACATGTCTGTGCCTAGAGGCCCATTGTCTTATAATGCACCCATGGGCCCATGAGCACATTTTGGAACCGGGATCCTCCAACAAGTTGATCCGGTAATGATCAAAATGAGATACAACTGTCTGATGTAAAATTAATATTCTGGCTGTTGTAACTGTGTGTAAGTGGCAGAAATAGAACAAGTGGTTGCTTGTATTAATTTGTATCCAATGATAACTTTACTATTAATCTCTTAGCAATATGTAGATTAACACACAGAGCTGTGCAGATGAGTGAGTGAAGTCTCTCCTCTTCAAACTCAAATGATTGTACATGCCGTCTCACATATGACATTATGAGTCAACACTGCTCGTTGGAGGGCTAATTAATTAAATAGATGTTCTGCCCTGCTCACCCCATCTCACCTTTGGGCTACTGCCAATCAGCCGTGACAACAGACAGAGAAAGACGACTTGACCAGCAGAGCCGACCGCCGGCCTGTCATCCGGTCCGGTCCCATCACACAGCGTCACTGCCAGTCTCTCTCGTGTCTCTCTGTCTGTCTGTCTGCGTGTCTCTCCACCCAGTAAATTAGCTAGCACTTCCACACAAGCATGCTCAGCTGTGGGAAGACAAGCTGCTTGGAAGAATTAGCACAGTGTCTGTCTTTAAACCTCTTTGGACTTGACAAGCGATGGCATATTTGGCCAAGACATTTTCAGAGGGGCTGTGTCATTCCTACAAAACTGTGTGTGTGAGTGTGTGTGTTACACTTCAGTCACACGCTGCTTAATCATCATGAAACGTGAGTCCTCTGCTACATTTTCCCTTCATGTGGTTGATGTTGGGGAAAATTAGTTTAATGGTGTTGACATCTGGGAAAATTTGTTTAATCGAATCTTAATTAAGCAAAAAAAAGGTTCACAAAAGACTTATGTTGAATAATTACCCCCTTGCAGTGATTTAAATGTGAACTGATCATGAAAAAATGAAAATATTAACATCTAAATCAATTCATAAACACGTCTTATATGGTTTCTTGGCTCTTACGTGTGACAGCATCAACTTGATCTAACCCAACGCCTACAGTCCTGCAGTTAAAGCGAGCTGGTGTAACTTTGCAACACGTGCATGTTTTTTGGGAGCAGAATAACAAGTCCAGACAGCTCGGTGTAGTTGCCAGCTTTTAACCGCATCACAGAGCAGTGATCTCACCTGGCAGCTAGCCCACCTGGCCGTAGGTTTGACACTCTGGGCTTGCCGTCCTTATCGGAGCCTCCGGAGATGGTGAGGCCAAGGCTGCTGCCTTCCCTTTTCATCAGGTCCACCGTGGTCACTCCTCTGTACTCCTCTGCTGACAGATACAGACACAGGCACAGATCCACAGTCAGCATTAGTATCTGCTTGACAGAATCACCCTGTCTGAGAGGCAACTAAAGACTTTTTTTCTTCATCTTTCTCTCCTGAATCTCTCACAGAAATGCCCTCTGACACACGACCACACACTTTATTTTCTCACTTTCCTGTCCTTTCCTTGTTCTTTCAAATCTCTCAGTCTGAGTGAATCTTTGTGACGGGCTCAGGAGGAGGAGGAGGAGGACGAGGACAGAGTCTGTTTTATTAATAGCACACTAAATACTGATAATGAAAAGAAATGCAGTGTATTATCACAAAAGGGGCACTCATTGAAAATTACAGTGAACTCATTAGGTCATACAGTCAAATCTAAGTGTATCCTTAAGTGATTGAAAATGAGTTTCTTGATGGATAAGCGGCGTTATAGTGTCATCAGAGGACCCACTCTGTCTTGTGGTCCACATTGTGCTGCGCTGTTAAATCGTTCTACGTGAAGTCTACCAAGAGTGGTTTAGTGCAAATGACAGGTATGCCACACAAGCATTTTTTTCACCTTATCTAAGCATTCAAAACAGTGCAACATCAAGCAAAACACAGCAGACACATGGCTCTGCACGCACACGGACAAAAATGACTCTTCTTGTTTTTGAGGACGCGGGAGCATGAATCAGATAACAGATAGAAAATAAAATGTCACTTTTGACTGGATTGTACCTGAGAAGCTGCGCCTGCAGGACGAATGGGATTGGTCAGCTGCCCCGGACTCCTTGCTCCCCTTTGAGTATGGTCCTTCATCTGAGGAGACAGCAGGGAGGTATGGAAGTGCTGTTATGAAGCAGCTGAAGCTGTGGTGACATGTAGGGAAACTCTGCAGCAGAAAGCTAAGTGAACATCCATTGCAAATCATGACAGCTGCACATGTTAATGCTTTGAACTGCACTCTGGGTAATGTGGGGCCTGCGCGGGGGGAGGGAACAGAACTTAGCCAACATTCATCCATCAGGCTTGACTCTCAACTTTAAAACAGTGATCAGCCTGAAATCAGGACCCTGGAAGGTCACTCCAATTTGTTTCCACAATCCTACAAAAGGTTCAAGGGCTTTAAATAGCTCCTCTCTGTGTGCAGCAGAGACCCTCGAAAACCATTAATTTAACACAAGAATACATTTGCGGCGAGCTTGATGTATGCAGCTACTAAAGCATGGGAATTTTCCTGAAGGAACAGCACGCGGTTAATGGACTGTTCGGGCATGGAGAGAAAATCATCATTTTCATGTCATTTACAGCAGCTGCTACAGAACGCTGGGAAACGTTCAATCTGCTCTGCAGGGAAACTGATTTTTTATTTTCTACCCACAGTGGGACCCACTGCTGACAGAGCACAGGGCTGGCCTCAGATTAGCAGAGCCACGGCTCGGCCATCTGAACCTGAATGGAACCACACAAGCACGTCAGCAGTCACAGTGATGAGGAAACGGACTTGGCACTTCTCTAATCCTGTCCACTGCGGATTACCTTTTCAGCTGTCCGGCACAGTGATTGAACATCATATTACTAACTTAAAGATAAGCTGTGCCAAGGCCTCTTTTTAAGAGTGGAGGGGCCATGTTGGTGCCTCGCGCTACAGGCATCAAACTTATGAAACAGTCTGGATTTCTTGAAGTGGGGTTGTATGAGGTTCTTATCCAGAGTCAGTGTGTTACATACAGACTGCAGCAGTCTGCATGCCCCACATTTGGAGAATCATGCAGGACAACCGTCACAGAAATTAAGCAATATACTGCTGTGGACCCTTTATTTAATCAATGGCTTCAGTTCCCAATCTATGCAACTGTCAGAGCCACCAGACTCCATTGACAAAAACATTAATTTTATCTCACTGAACACAGGAGTTGCTGCTCTGCTGCAGCCTCCATCAGATAGTTTGTTTGAGTTATTGTGGGACTTTGGTGAGGCTCCTGGGTTCATCTATGCTAAATTACTGTTTTTCTCAATGGAGCATGGCTTTGAAGAGAGTGACATAAGAGCTTCAGTTCCTGGTTGGAAAGCGCTGTCTGTGGCAAAATAAAGTGGTCCGTGGTTAACACAGAGACTTTCACGTTTTGTTCTATGACATAAGCCAGTATATACCCCACAATGAATTTTGAAGCCTTCATGTGTCTTATAAAAGGAGGTTGCTAACAAGTGGCTCAATGAGACACAACATCATCACACTGACCACAGCTTTACAACTTCGTTGTGGTATGGATTTTAAATCATGTGACTGTAGTGTACTGTAAAACTTCAATTAAAAGCCCAGTTCCTTTTACTAGCCCAGTGTGGCTACACATTTTGACAAATATACGCCTGTCTCAAATAGATGCCTGGTCTGGTTGCCAAGCAGTTCATTTTTCTTTACAGACGTTCTTTGCATGTATAAAAGCAGGTTGATGGCTACCTCAAATGATGTGTCCATTCCTTGATTACCCTGTAAGTTATTCATATTCCTTTAGTCCATAAGGGCTCAGATCAAAAGAATCAAAAGGGTTTTTCATAAAAAAATAATCCAAGTTGTGAGGATTGTTTAACAGGATAAAGTGGTGATGTGTCGGTATGCCGGGTGCCGTAATCCTCAAGTGCCATAACTCTGTCTTTCTCTGATGCGCTGTCTGCCTGGGCTACTAATTGAAGATTTATGGTAACACACTATGGAAAGATACCTCATACAACCCAACTTCCAAACATCCGAACTGTCCCTTTAAGTCACCACAAGCCAACAGTATCTTCTCTGATTGTGCAAAAAAACAGATTTTAAAAACTTTTTTTTTTCTAACAACCCAAATATTCAGAAACTGTTTTTAGAAACCAGATGTTTTAAATTTGTTCGGCGGGAGAGACACAGATATTAGGTGAGGTGAAAGGACAGGTGCACGCTGGTGTTTATGGCGGTAAGTTAACTTGGTACTTTGTTATCTTCAACACCAGACTAACATTGCTGCAATTTGCGTCAAAAATATTAATGTTAGCCTACTTCTTCTCAGAGTTACAATATCCAATATGAGTTTACATGACACGATACACTAATTTTTAGACAAAATGTGACTTACACTGTCCGAAGATGTCATTAACTCCGATGAACGGGGAAATAAACGCTCATGAATTAGCATCGTTAGCCCACTCCTTGTAGCTAGCTCCGAACTTCCTTGATAATCATCATATTTTAATGTTTTCTTCAGTGTCACAGTAATCCAGTGATAGTTGTCTGCACATCCATGTGTACACTGCAAACAGGGACTGCTAATAGATAATTCGGCATACTTGTAATGGTGTCAATTTGTCTAAAAGTAAATACAAATATAGGCTAAAATAATTAGCATAAGTTGTAGCCCGCAGCTAACTCACCAATCCACATTGTATTTCCTGTTTACTTCCTTGTTTACATCAAGGAGTCTTTACAGATTCCTTGGTTTACATCACCTAAAATTTAGACTGTGATTATCTATCAAACAGGAACAAGACAAAGAATAATAATTGGAATGAGAAAATCTATTTTAGTCAAATTTACATAGACATACATAGATAAATAGACAACGTGTTTGGGCTGCACGATAATTTTTATATTTGATATCGCGATTATTTATCACTATTTTTCATTAATTTTAGGCACAAGGTTGTTTTTTGTTGCAGTTTCACATTTTAATAAACAGAGCGCTGCTTTCACTTCCATGTTGTAAGCTGCTGTATGGATAGGATATTGGGCCTCATGCAAGAAGTGATATACGAACAAATTTTCTCTTACTGTTGTTCATATCCACAATTTGTTTGAATTTTGTTAGTACACATTGATTTCTGGGATTCACCGATGTTTTCTTATATTCGCTCTAATGTTAGGAAAGAGATAATTTTATGAGTGATCAAGAGCACTCTTATTAAGATAAGAGAAAAACATCTCGTTTTCACAGTCCGTACATTAATTGTGATAGCATGGAAACATGAGTTTTAAATGTGAGGACCATAAAAATGGATGAATATATTATAATCAAATTAAAATTATATGTTTCAGATGAATTATAATGATTGAATTATTACATATGTGGGCTAAAGATATGTTATTGGTCCATTGATCCCAATTTCTGTAATTTCAATTACCGTAAGTCCGTCTGCTAAACAGTGGTAGAATGTAGCTAAGTGCATTTACTCAAGTATCGAAGTGCAAAGTTGAAGTACTTTTACTTTACCAGATAATCATAATCTCCTGCAACTATTCCACTCCACTTCAGAGAAAATAGTAAACTTCTTACTCCATTACAATTATTTAATAACTTTAGTGACTTTACTAATAAAACTTTTTGGGCACAAACAACATAAAAATATACCAGTGCATCTGAAGCGATTAGTCGATTGATTAGAAAATTTATTTTCAGCTATTTTTATAATAATTTAAGTCAATTTAATGCAAAACATTTAATAGTTACAGCTGTTTTTCCATTTAATTAGTTTATTTTTTTATATTTCATTGATTAGAATTTTCTGCATTGAGTATAGTACTCTTGTATTTTCTCTTAACAGAAAGTGAGTATTGTGAAAGAATGTTGCTGCATAAGGCCCATTGTCTCAATTTCGTCTGAGGTGTGTCCACACCGTCCCCAATCAAAGTCAGCTAAAGCAGGATCTACTTCCATGTGCTCTAGAGGTCTGAAATTAGACCTGCCAGTTAAGACGTAATATCCCAGTCCTGACAGTATATCAATCTGACATGAACAATACCATTCCCCATTCTCCCAGTTAAGTCTTGTGTGGTGATTTGTAAAGACTGAGATGGGGGAAAAAAGTACTCTGAGGGCATCAAACAGACTGCATTCTCTCTGTCTGCATCAAGTTTCCACATCTGCCCAGCTGAAGATGAGGCCTTTAGACAGCTGAGAGGCATAGATCCTTTGTCAAACCTTCTCTGACCTGAAACCTCTGGGCAAGAAAATCCAGCTCTCTTCAGAGTCGGACTTTAACAACAGAAATATCTTAACTGGTCTTGGCATATTGTGGCAATGTATAGAACATACATATGCATACTATGGTATTTCACACTAATTTACACACATCCTTGCACAAATATCCTGTCCAGTAGCTGTGAGGCACAAACAGAGTGAGTGACACATCACAAACACATCAGGCCGGGCAAAAGCCTCGTAACCATGCGGGCTCCTGAGGGCTGTGACAGTCCAGCAGCTGTCATTGCAGTCAAAAGGCAACATTAGCTCTGGGTAATGCAGACCCCAACGCTCTGCACGTGACTGAACGCCACTGTACCATCAAGCCATCCCCCAGCCATTCTCCTCCAGCTTAAAATAACCATCATCTAACCCTAACGGCAGGAATTAAAATCAGGATGGAGCTGATTAATAAACAGCCTCAACTATTGTTAAAAAAACAAATCTGTTGTCTTTGAAGAGGAGGTTAGTGAATGGCTGATGGTTTGCAGAAGAGCTGCGTCTAAAGGACCTCGGAGCACCGCACAGACTAAAATAAAATTCTGTGCTACTGCGTAAATATGTGAGTTAATTAACTCCTGGTTTAATTCAGGGCACTGTATGCCATCCCTCTCGTTACCAATCAGAATGTAGGTTAAATATGAGGGCGGCACTCACATTGACAATGAAATCATAACGCTATTTTCAGATGTAAAACTTTATTTATAAACGGGGGCCCTGCCAGACCCAGTTTACGTTGCTATATCTGCCCCAATTACACATGGCAGGATGGTATGCAGAGCTGGTGGTCAAGTCCACTAACATTTATCTCCAATCAGAACCACTAATACATGCATTGTAATGACTCTACATGAAATTATTGTGCATGGATTACAAATTAGAGGGGATGTTTTCCAGCTGCAGTGGCTGTCCCTCAGGTGAACTACACATTTAAGACATAAGCCGCTCTTTACAGGTGATCCAGGTGACACAAATCCTCCACTACAACACTCTGCAAAGATCAAAGTGTGGCGCTCTCTTACCAATGCTGTTTTTGGTGTCCCTCCTCAGACCACACAGCATGGCTGTAGTTTAGTCAGCGCAGCCACCCCTCGGGAAGTAACCTTGCTGATCTGTAGTAGTGGGCAGAGAGCTGAGGTTTCACCTGAGGTAAAAGGGGCTCAGCCGCTCAGATAAAATACCATCTTCGTTTCTTCACTCCTCTGCCAACATTTCCTTTAACCTTTGTCCCCGTTTTTAAAACCAAGCGAGGAATTAAGCTCTGGAGGGCGAATCTGATCCTCAGATGGTCTCTAGTTCCCCTCTCTATTTAAACTTAGTGACAAAAAGATGTTCTTCTCAGTCCTCAAAAACCTACCAAGCTCTGTTTTCCTATAAAATCCAAAGCAATGGTTCATGTCCTTTTCTTGCCATCTTGCCGTGGTTCCATTTTTGAGCTATTCTCACTAATCAGCCGTCCTTTTCCAGAGGGTTTATCATCCCTTGTTCATACACTCACATGAGCTCACACATAACCCTCCTCTCTCGTACAGAGCAGCAGAGAGTGTGTTTGCTCTCTGTCTCCCTCCCTCTCTCCCCCTGCCAGAGGGGTTCAGTGAGGCAGGCACACATGATCGTCACTCCCTCCCCCAGCACTCACACACACACACACATGCACACACACACTTTATCCACATTTCCCACCAAGTCAAACACCCCTTATATGCACATCCTCAAACCCACCCACACACGTTCACACACACTGAGATAAGACACGACACTCTACACACTCAACTCTCTGCACAATTAACACCACCTGCACATTCATTGTCAGACTGAGCCCCGCACTGTCATGTTTTTTCTCACATAGAGACTGCACCCATTTTTTGCACAGCCCGTATCTACACAGTGCTAGTATCTCTCCCTCACACGCTCACACACACACACACACACACACGCACGCACATTCATATTAGCATGTGCATATGCATAATTCCTGTGCAGAACAGCTGCCTGTTTGAGATGTCTAGCTGTTGAAATGTTATTCATAAAAGTGCAGTTGTCGTGCACAAAGCTGTGATGACAGATTCTAACTGTCATACTGTGGTCAAGTGAAAGTAAATGAGTGTTGTTAAAACAGAAGCAAAGAAGGAACACTTCAAATCTGAGTGACTGTGTGAAATTGGGCTGCAACTAAAGATGATTATCATTGTCAATTAAACTGTAGGTCATTTTCTCCCTAGAAAACTCTCTGTTATCCTTTAAGAACTCTGATTGCACCTTGTACTTCACATTCCCCATTAATCAATTTGTTTTTTGGTCTATAAAATGTCAGAGAGTGGTGGAAAGGTAAATAAGTGTTTCCCAAAACCCAAAACAATGTCCGCAAATGTCTTGTTTTGTCCACAACCCAAAGACATTCAGTTTACTGTCATAGAGAAGTAAAGAAAACACAAATATTCATATTGAAGAAGTGGAAATGAAAGAATTCTGACTTTCCTTCTCTTAAAAAATCACTTAAAGCGATTAATTGTTTATCAAATTAGTTGGCAATTAATTTAATATCTGACAACCAATCGATTGTTTGCTGCTGCTTTAGTGTGAGAGTTAAATGCATCTCATGTTTTCCCCTCAGGATTTTGAGAGGACCCTCTGCTAATCCAGGCCCCACTGAAGTCCCTCCACCCAAACACAGAGGGACTAACTGGTGTTCTGACTGACCCGTCGCCACACCTGTCAGACCATTTGCCATGCACACAAGCCTCGACGCCTGCCACTTCCTGACCCCCACTGCAGCCACCACCACCAACCACAACAACAAACGCCCTCCTCCAGCCTCCCTGGCAGCTCCTCCGGGCCTCGTCTGCCTCATTTGTTCTGGTCACTGCGAACAAATAGTTGTCATCGCTGAGACTTTGTAGGCAGGTAAGTAAATCAAATAACAAGGTACAACACCAGAATACACGCACAATGTGAAATTACACCCTCTGTTTCTACAACTGCTTATTTTACAGATGCGTAAAGTGATTACAAACAAACATTTCCATGTTTCTACCCGCTGTTGCGCAGAGCCTAATTAGTCAGCTGTTCCAGTGGACACAATACTCTTCGGTGTAGATAATTTCCTCCGAGACTTTTGTCCTTAATACCCCATTTACAATGTGAGCGAGCACAGTCTTTCAGAGCGAGACTAATTAATTTCTAGCACAATAAAGAGAATCGCGAGACAGAGCAGTGTGTTGGACTGATAAAACCCCTGGGGAACAGGGCGGCAAACGTTGGGTTATAATAAAAAATTGACTCTTTTGCACTTCCTGTAGACATTACTGATGTAGAATGAGTGATGATATAATTATTTGATTAAGAGAGCAGATTTTTTTGCAGTGACATTGGCATATAAATAGAGGTTAGGAACACTAAAGCTAAAAAGAAACAAAGCAGAGCAGAATTTAAAAACACTAAACAGGTGCTGAATATTTAACACCTGCAACTTTGTTCACTATTTAGAGCAGCTGTGTAAATGTTTCCACTCTTTCATCTACAGTACTGTAATAATTACCCCTCTGCAAACAGCCTACATTCCATTAAACACAGACAAAGTGGGTATTCTAGGCAGGAGGCCCTGAATCTCTTAACTCGCTGCTCAATCAAACTGACCACACTGCCATCTTATGGTGATGAGATCCAGTTGCAAGTGAAAGTCTAAAAAGCAAAATGACTAATTCACTTGTCAGCCAGCACAGATCAGTGTGTGACAAAAAAAGAGCCGGAGGATAAGGATGTGTCACACACACTCATGCTTCCAGTTTGCAGCAGGGTTCACCTTTAAGGTCGGCCAAAAGCCCAGATCTCAGTCAAGCGAATGCTCAGTTAACAGGCCTGCTGCACACAAACAACTCACGTCTGTTTCTAAATTCATTCAGGTGATGTATGTCGGGGGAATGACAGATAAACTTGAAGAAGATATTTTGTGGAGGCACCAAAACTCCTCTTTTTCCTGCATGAATTGGCAGAACTTTCAAGTCTCACATGTCTTGTTCTAAAATATCAAAGGCATCAACTGCATACATTACCATTTCCCCAGAGATTACGCAGCCCTCCCGTTGGCTTTTACCTTTGGTTCTCCCTCTGATGATGCCCAGCCGACATCTGAGAGAAAACGAGAACATCCTCCTCTTTCCTCCAGCAGACCGGCTGCCTTTCCTCAGGGAATCTGTCTGAGGGAAAGCGAAGGAGAGCTGCTTGGGAGTGAGGCGCCCCTTTCCAAACGCTACCCTTGCTGACATGTTCATTTTCTGAGCAGTGCCAAGGAAAAAACAGATCCTGTCCTCTTCCTGACACTCTCACCATCTCTTAGACATCGCAGTCTCTGCCCGTCCTGCTGTTCTCGTGTTCTCCTCCTTCTTTGGAGAACTTCCAGTCCTCTCAGGTGCAAAACCCGCGCCACAAACAGGTGCAGGTTCTTTAAATAAAGGAAAGATTCAGATCCAACACTGTGTCTGTTTTTCCCCTCAACCAGCATTGGTAACTCACTTCCTTCAGTTCCAAACAGCCACAAGCTGACTGGCTAAATAAATGTTATGTTTTTGCATCTCTGGCAATGTCAGTTTTGCAGGAACAGATGGCAGAGGGCTCAGGGCTGTGGGGCACAGCTTGCCTGCCAGAATGCAATGGAAACTTTCTCTGCAGGGAGTCGGCTCTGCAACATCGCAAAACAATATACAATCTGAGCTGGCCATTTCAAGACTTGTAATAACAGTCTTTTCAATCTACTGATATTACACCAGAGTGTCAGCTGTGGATTTGTCTCAACATGTTGATACATAATCCCAAACTGCCTTTTTGTTATTAGTCTAAAACCAGCGAGGGGACTGTGTGCTGTCTTTGTGCTCAGTTTTTTGGTACAAGTCTGTGAATCTCTTGGCTTGCTCTAACCTAACCTTGTAAAGTGTGTTATTTAAAGGAGCAGTCAACAAGTTTTACACAGAGATCAGTTTACCAGTCGTGTTTAACAGAAAGCCTGGGGTCCATTTCACAAATCACAGATGAAGGAAGAAGTACTTCTATCTTTTATTTAAGTAAAAGTGCAATACCAATCCTACATTCAAGGTGTTACTTCTGTAAAAGTACGAAAGTATTATCTGTAACTTAAGTATTAAAAATACGAGTGTTCAGTGAGCAGATTTGTCCCTTTCAGAGTATTATGTCATGAAAAACCTATTGGATTGTTGTTATTACTGATCCCTTGACACATTGGCAGTGGTTTAATTCTAGTAAGCAAGCAAAGTTTATTTATATCGCGCCTTTCACAGACACCAATCACAAAGTGCTTCACAGTCAAAGAAATAAATTTGAAACACCAGATGAAATATAAGAGGAGAAGAGACACAAGACACAAGTTGAAAACCAAATGCCGTTCTGAACAGATACAGTCTATGGTTTTTAGCTGCTTTTTAAAAGTGTCCACAGAGTCAAAAAAACATCAGCTTTTTGGGAAACTATTCGCGTAGGGGCTGCTGACTGGAAAACACCATCTCCCAAGAGTCTTAAAACGTGTCCAAGGTGCACTTAGAAAGCCCTGGAGTGCAAAAGGTCGACGATATACTGTTGAGCCTCGTCACGTAGGGCTCTACATGTGAGCACCAAAATATAAAATGAATTCTAAAATGATCAGGAAGCCGGTGCAGACATGTTAACATAGGTGTAATATGTGACAGCCTGTTGGAACATGTTAGGAGCCGTGCAGCATTTTGTAAAGGGTGTAGGAAGATTTATTAAAGCAGGTAAATAGAGAAATACAGTAGTCCAAACATGAAATCAAAGCATGTATTAGGATCTCCATTTCATTTCTTGTTTGGCAATGTTTCTTAGGTGTCCTAATGTGAGCGCCAGAGCTCTGGATTGGGCAAAAATCCCACCAAGATTACAGACTGGATCGAGAGATGAGGATAATGCACTAACGTTATGCCTGGTCACCGCAAGGACAGTAGGGTCAAAAATTCTCATCAAGGTGGAGCTATTTTTTTAATACTTTGTGTGCTGTTGGAACATTTAACACAGGGGTGTAAATATGGAGAGTGCAGGCAGTTTGGTCTCACAGGGGCCCATAAGGTGGGGGGCGCATAGAGAGTGTGGGCCCTCCATCATGTATTGGGTGGAGAATTGGCCATCTTGAAAATATGCCTGTGTCCAAAGGGGAATTCTCATGAAATTAAAAACAGGGCCATTTACTTTTTATGCCCCTGACAAAGGCAAACCCATCTCCGTCACGTTTTTTCTTTTTTTGTAGAACAGTCAGTAGCATCGACAGCAAGATTATATGCTTGTTCTATTACTATAAATCAACTATTAACATTGTTAAATTAATGATTTCCTAATTTTGTATTTTATTTAGTATTATTTGTTATATAGATATGCAATGGTTATTCAGTGTCAAGTCTCTGATCATGTGATGACATATGTGCACAATAGCATGCACTGGGACCCATTGTAAGTACCCTGTCTGCATCATATTTCACAAGTTTATGTTTTGTAGTTAAAAAATCTTAA